TAAGTCTGTAAAGTAAACCTGCATTACTTCTTAGTAAGTCCAGCCGGCCCTGTGTAAATAATACTTTCAGATTACGAAGGCAATGATAAAACAAATATATAGACACATACTATACACATATTCTGAGTGCAAAGTAGATTGATAAATATTGAATACACGGGCATGCATCAAGACAGCGAGGCGGTTCAGCTGTAGAGTGAGCGGCCAGAATTCAAATTCAAACTCTAACGGACAAACAAGATGTATTATGGTGTAGACACGAAATAATATACTCACTACTTGAGAATAGTAGCACAAGACAGAAAGGAAAGTGTAAACAAATGACAAAATGTCCAGTGGACACCTATGGGCTATCTGCCGATGAATTGTGACGATACCGATGACAAGACGCAAAACTAATTGTACAAATTTGGTAGATCACGTGTGTGTGTGTGTGTTGCACATGCAAAACTAAAGTCACCGTAGAGAGCAGACGGTTGATGGCCATGGCTCTCTGCTGGGGCTCCAGTTGTGGCATGTCATTTTGGATCACCTGGTCCGTGATGCCATGTGGGAACTGCTGGCACAGCTCTATTATTCTGAGAACGAAGACGGCAATTGGCAGTGGCGTTACTGCTCCATCATCACCATGTAGTGTATGTATTGTAAAACATAAATGAAAGAGAAAAGATGACTGAAATGCATTATAAATCAGTCAAATTATCCCATGCCTGAAATGCCACGCGCCCCCGTTGTAAGTTAGAGTGGAAAACAAAGCTTGTCGGTGCTAAATATAAAAAGCAGTCGTAATGAATTTGGTTACGATTGAGCTAAACTAGTTTCTATATTTCTCCATTCTTTGTTCTTGTCTAATAGTGGCCTCCAAAGTCTTTGATTTCATCTTGTCATCCATCTTCCTCCGCTGTCTCCCTCTGCTTCTTTTTACCGATCTCTCGACATTCTCCTCTTGGCGCGTTCTGCCAATTTACAATTTGATTTATTTTGCTTTTTTTTAGTAAGAGCACCAGTGACCACTATTAACCTTATTTAATAATTAATTCATTAGCCTCTCTACAATATAAAGTACGTTTAAAATTCATAATAAAGGTTTGTGGGTTAGATCGCGTTTATTTATAAATGTGTCGTAACCCTCCACCACCCGACACGGCCAATCAGCAAAAAAAGTGTCACGTTGACAAAAGACAATAATTCACTACTTCAGCCCACCGGTGTGTTGAAGAGTTAATCCACATTTACAGTTTGAGTACGACGTTTCGCTGGTAAATACATCCAGCATCATCAAGCAATTCGCCAGAATGGTAAAGCCCTCGCTTGCTCCCGGTTTTTTATATAGAGCAGCAGGGTGACGTCATCACGTTTAAAATACTTCTCTCCATAGATCTTTGGCAAGCGTATAGCTTTCTTGGCTCGGCTTAGCTCATCTAAAACTGCAAAAAAAGATAATACACCCTGCTGAAATTAACACAGCACCCCTTATGAAAAAAAGGTACATCGTAAGCTTAAAACAAGGTAAACAGCACGTATTTAAGTGTTGTTATTTCATTGTAAACCTCAAGTTTCAAATTCATCTTGTTTAACCGGGTGAGAACTAGGGGGACAAGGTTAAATTAGTCTCGTCTGTAAGACTGAACTGGGTCACATTTGCATTGCAGAGGTACATGCACCAACCTTTTTCTTGCACACTAATGGGTCCTGTGTGCGTTAAATGCATGCATGACCTTTCCAACGATGAGCGGGAGTGCCCCTACTGACTGGTTCATATGATTCATGCACACCAGAGGGCTCATGTATAGAACTCTTGAATGGTGCATCTGCTCCGAGTTCGTGTAGTCCAATACTATAACTCAATTCGATAATGTAATGAGTCCATCGTTCATAAAATGCTGGATGATGACCTCAAGACGTCACCATCTCTCACAGACCAGAGATGAAACGGTCCCTTTGGCTCACACGAGCTTCATTGCCGCTGCTCCATCTCCGCAGTCGAGTGTGTACTCTTTTGTCTGCCACTCCGTCGTTAAGTCTCGACCGCCACGGTGGCGAGGTATTATTTCCAAAAACTGATATGCAAGGAGGGTCGTGGGTTCGATCCCAACGCTGACCGCCTGCTGTATATTTGGAGTTTGCATGTTCTCCCCGTGATGGCGTGGAGTTTTCTCCGGTCCTTCGGCTTTTCCCTCCACATTTGAGAAACATGCGTTGAGATTATTTGGCTGCAATAGATGTCCATATAAGCCACTTCGTTGCGCTATCATCTCTGGCCAGGTCGCTTCTGAAAAAAAGCTGCATAGCTGTGTGGGGCCGTCCATAAATGACGTCATGCAATTTTGGACGATTTTTTATCTCCCCCCCTTCGTCACACGGCGTCACAAAAAGTCAGAGCCCCCCCTCAAATATGACGTCACAAAGCTCTGCCCCCCCCCCAAAGAAAATAAAACACGCTTCAAATCGCTTTTTAACTATTGTCATTGTAGCGCGTATTTAATGTGGCGCTGCACTCTACTAATTAAGTAGAACGTGTTGTCTATGTTTATTTAAAGTTGCGCATTTTATGTGACGTCACATTTCTCAAACCCCCCCCCTCGTCACACATCGTCACAAATGTCTGACCCCCCCCTCCCCCCTAGGTGCGTGACGTCATTTATGGACGGCGCCTTACCTGCTACAATACAAATAGTATAGTCATCGTCCCTTATAAGCTATGACATGTCCTGACCAAACTCAGCCTTCCTGACAATTCATTGTCTTCTTGAATGTTATTGTCTTATTTTATTCTCATTCTACGTGACTTTACCGAAAGAACCAAAGAAGATGAATCCCTGCAGTAACGAAAGCTTTCAATCGAAATTCATTCTCTTTGCTTGTTTTCTAAACTAAGCCTACCTCTTGGTTCTTATATGTATTATTTTTATTATTTCCCTTCTACGTGACTTTACCGTAAGAACCAAGAAAATGAATCCCCTGCAGTCACGAAAGCTTTAAGTGGAAACTTAAGCCCATCTCGTTCTCTTCGGTGTCACTTCAAGTACTCGAGCGAGTCTTACGTTCCTACAAACCGATAACGCCAACAGCTGTGTTGATGAGTTCCTATAGGTCCAGGTCGCTCTCATTACGTCAACAGGATGCTGCTGAACGTGTCATTCATTGTCCTCCTGTCACTGGACTTGCAACGCGGAGGTGGTCGGGTCGACGTTTCGATCTCCACGCAGCCTGAAATCCCGCTGGGATTTTGTTTGCACACGAGCGTTGGTGTACGGTGCCTTTTTTCAGGAATATTTTTTACTGGGGTTTGTTTTTTTTCCCCTGGATTTTCTGTTTGCACGGCCACACATAGTCACTTTATATGTTCATGTTTTTTTCTGTTTGTTGCGGTTGCACCCGATTCAAGAGCCGAATGGCTCACAGGGCTATACCTAATGAAATGAATGAAATGAAACTGAAACCGGGCACGTTTCTTGAATCCCTCCCACCAAACCTCTGTTTACCCACAAGTATGAGCACGCCGCGGTAGTCGATCGGCAGGTGGCTTGCGGTGACGAAGCGTGCGGTTTTCCCCCACCTATTTATTCCAAGATGCCTAAACCACGGTAATGTTGTTGAACTTCTTTCGCACCGTACGTCGCCACCCGTGATGATCAGGGGTGCGGGGGGAGAAACGCAACAAGCAGTTCTGAAGAAATTAATTTTCGATCTAGATTTGGCAGAGGAGTTCAACGTGCCTTTAAGACAAGCTCGATACAGTCCCTTTATAGTGCAGGCCCTTCCGCTAGCAATGCGACGAGCAAGCAATTGCAGGGCTACGCCTTTGCATAAATCGGCACAGGACATGTTCACCAATTTGCTCAATGGGTGGGCCCGTGTGTTCGACCCATGTGTGCCCGGTCCAGCAACCCCGGGGGCACGTGGGCGAGTGGATGGAGCCACTGCTCTTCTCCAGCTCGGCGCCTCTACCTGCTCTCCAGGTCCACGGCGTCCGTAGCCTCTTGCTTCACCACCACGTCCGTCATTGTCGCCTCCACGACAGCGCGAGAGAGACGAAAAACCTCAAATCGTGAACCACGCGCAGGGGATTAGACGCCACACATCCCGATACCACGCGGCGGCGGATCGATTCGGTATCGCCGACTCGACTCAACGCACGTGTCGCTCGCGCGTATGTCAAGCACCGATTGAGTACGATTTGTGGGAAAGTTGCGCAAGATGCACAGTCGACCCGTTCGGTGTGAGAGCGAGATAATTACAATGACTTTAAAAAAAAAAGAGACCGAGGGTGCGAGCGAGGCGAGCAACTTAGCGCGCCTCATAAATGGAACGCAGCGGATCGCGGACTCGAATCTTCGATGCACGGGTACCAGCTGACTGGTGTTACGTCACGTCCGGTGGCACCCCCCGTGTAACCCCGCCCGCCCCCCGTGTAACCCCGCCCACCTCCCGTGTAACCCCGCCCTCTCCCGCCCACCGCTTGCCCCCGCCCTCAAGTTGCTTCCGGCGGCCATATTACGTGAGGGATGGGAGGCGTCACGCGGGCGAGGCCGGCTGCACGTTACCCCCGCAGTCGACCACGCCGATAGGACACAACAAGCAGCCTTGTCCCTGCGAGTGTTCACAGCACAACACTGTATACATGAAGCATAGTGGCCCCCTTACAACGCTGCCCGTCCCATCCTATGTTTTATTTTTGTGTTTATTGTTGTTGACGGTCCTACTCGCCGCACCCCCCCCCCTTCTATACGCCTGTGAATAAAACATAAAATCTTTACGAGCGCATTGGTTTCCTCACGCAGTTCTAAGTGAGCGTTCTGATTCCATCCGCGTGACACGGAGCGCAGCAGCTCCTTAAGCAACGTGGCCGCTGGATGCCGTGCGCACGCGTGACGTCATCGACGGACGACGTCATTGACGTCACGCGTCGGCGTATCGCGGCTGCGGCGTCTCGACGCGCCGAGGCCGCCGGCTTCCTTCTGTGGCCGCTGCAACAACAACGACGACGGCGGAGACGACACACATCGGTGGCGACGGTACAAACGGCACGACACCCGCGGTGCCTCCTCGACGTCAACTCTCTGCGCGTGACACCGGAACGCGAGGCACTGCGCGCACGTGCGCGGGACGGTGAGACGGCGAGTCACGTGCCGGGGGGGGGGGACGGGTTCTCACTTTCCGGGTGAGGGAGGCGCGATCGCGAAGCCCGACGTTTCGCCGCCAGGCCCTCGGTAGCTCTCGCGTTGTACGTAAGGACCCTTTACTCTTTGTCTAGAAGGTGGGATTTTGTTGTTGTTGTATAGCTGTGGTCCTCTCTTGAAAGAGCTGATAGCTCTTGCGTTTACGACGCGACACCTTTTGGCAGGTGACCTGGGATCTCTTCATCCACCACTTCGGTGGTTCTTCTAGAGGACCTGGGACATTTTCTCGAGGAACTCTTTCAGAAACTGGGATTTCCGTCTGGAATCAGGGACCTCGCCTCTAGGAGCAGGGGATTCCTAACCCGTTTCGCCGAGGATATGGACGCTCTGCTTTAGGACTTGTCATTTTTCACCACAGGACTTGAACCTTGGATCTGATACCTCTTCACACGAACTTGGGATCGATACGAGCCAGATCGCCTAAGACCTAGGAACGCTTATCCAAGATCTGGGAATTCGTGTCCAAAGTTATGTGCTTTGTACATTGTTGGGACCGCTCAATAGTTTCGCGCCTTGTAAGCGGCGGGATATGGCTGGACCCTCGCCTCTCACAGTCCCAGAAGTTCAACATTATTAGGCACTACAGAATTGGAGACCTCTGCTCTAGTACTTGAGAATTCTCGTCCTGGATCTGGAACCTCATGATCCTTGCACCTCCATTCTAGGACTTGAACACTCCACGACCAAGAGTCCTTTCACCGATGTCACCCCGTATGTACCCGATAGTTCGATGGGACCTGTCGTGTAGGACGTGGACCTCTCATTTGGGAACCATGAAATCTATCCTCCAGGATCAGAGAACTCATCTCTCGGGAGCTGTTAACAACACTAGTCTCTGGATTCTCCACCACTCACCCCGGACCTGAGCTCACCCCTTCTAGCCGGGAACCAGGGCCGCTGCTTCCGAGCTCATAAAAGCCGCCCATCACCTCTCCAACATCTCCCGGGCCTGAGCTGGACAGCGGAGCTACAAAGCACCTGGGCCGCCGCTTCCCCCCGTCCAGGAACCGAACCAGAATCCTCCTCCTCACTGCTTCTTCCTCCCTCTTCACTACATCAGCAGCCGTGGTTTCAACCACCTCCGAACACGGGTAGATACTAATCCTCCTCCTCCCCGCTTCCTTTCTCTTCACTACATCAGCAGCCGTGATTACTCATCGCTTGCACGATTAGAGACGTTCAACCTGCCGATGTGTGTTAAGGATAAGGACATTGCACTCTTTGGCCTGGCTTAACAGTTGCAACTCATTCCTTGGGCCAATTTACATTTTTCCTGTGGAGTTTATTATTAAACGGAGCTTGCCGACTAAGTAAATATTGACGCGAAAGAGGCTCTTGGCGTGATTCACAAAAGTTGGTAATTTTGTGTGGATATACACCAAGAAACTGTTTTATTTCGATTTAAAGCTTTCGTGACTGCAAGGATTCATCTTTCGGTAAAGTCACGTAGAATGAGAATAAAATAATAAATTGATAAAATAAAATAACACAATACAATTCTCGTCGTGAGAATTTTATTGTGTTATTCTCGTCGTGAGAATTTTATTGTGTTATTTTATTTTATCAATTTATTATTTTATTCTCATTCTACGTGACTTTACCGAAAGAACCAAAGAACAAGAAAATGTTGCGTATAATTGATGCCTATGCGTGAATATATGATTGTTCCTTTTAGGGGTGACTTTATGATGACAGATCTGACATATGACACGGCTTTCAAAATAACTTCAAAGTCTGCCAGTTGCCATACAGTGGTACGAGTCGGGGCTTGTGCTCAATGTTTTATTATTGCAGTGATTTAATGTGTACATTGACAAACTATGGAATTTTGATTTAAAGCTTTCGTGACTGCAGTAATTCATATTCTTAGTTTTTTCGGTAAAGTCACGTTGAAGGGAAACAACAAAATAATATTGTTTTATATATATTTTATTATTTTGTTGTTTCCCTTCAACGTGACTTTACCGAAAAAACTAAGAATATAAACTATGGAATGTTTCATGCGTCTTCAATACCTCTAGGCAGAGTACATGTGTGCATGTGCTTGAGATAAAAGAAATAGTTCTTTTTACTTGCCTGAGCTATTTGGAAGTAATGTATTGATAATATTTGTAATGCTTCGCAAGTAGAATAAGGTGGAAATCGTTTGTGCATTAACTCTGTCCGTACATAACAGGATCGTCTCTACTCGTGCAAACACAATCCCATATAAACCAAACCTGTAGCGTAAAGTTTTGCTCTCAATTCGGAAAGTGTTGTCTTGACAGCTACACAAATTGATCAAAGGCTTTGCCCAACACTTGGAGAGGAGACTGAAACCAAAGCAGTAAGGACTATTTGCGAATTCAGGATACAAATTGATTTTTCCCCTACAGCTGCCCGTCGTACTAACGAAGACAAACACGTGTTGGTGGGCATTACATAACCGACACGTGTGCAGCATAATTTTCACCAGCTTATTATTTATTCTCTCCCCCCCCCCCCATACCCACGTCATTGCAGGCATGTTGGCTTCAGCATCCATATGGCATGGAGCAACATGAACTTCCGCCAGCGGATGGGCTGGGTGTGCCTGGGTCTCTACATGCTGGCCAGCCTAGCGCTGGCACACTACATGTTCGACGTGAGCGACTCTTACGGGGCCCTTGCCCTGGACCGCGTGGCCTCCGAGTCCGGCGCCCGCGCAAGAGGCAGACTCACGTGGCTCAGGGACGCTCTGCTGTCGGCGCCGCTCGCGCTGTGGGTGGCGCTGCTCCTCTTTGTCTACCTCCAGGTGTTTTGCTTCTTGGTGTCGTGCACCCGAACCGAGCCCAAGAAGGTCGGCTACTGCCTCTTCCCGCTCTGCCTGCTCGTGCTGCTGAGGCCACGGCAGCCACGCTTGAAGACGTATGCACACGCCGACAATGGTGTGCAAGTCATTAATATGTGAGGACGCTTTTGAGTACCGTGTGTGTGTACCGGCTATAGGTGCTTGCTTACCACCACAATAGTATGTTAATGCTATACGGGGGATCTTTGTTATCGCCTAACCATCTGAGCGGGGATAGGGTGGCCGCGATGGGCCATTGAAGGCTCAGTTGGACGCACGAGTTCCTTGTGCGAAAGAAAATAATTGTACAGTTCTTTATTGTGAACACCTGAATTTGGGGGATCTATTCCACAATGAAAAACAGATGGACCAAGGCCCATGATTCTTGTAATTGCCTGTTGCTGTGATAGGTGTATTCGTATAAACACTATCAAAAGATACATTTTTTATTTGTGACCCTTTTTTTGGACATATCACTGCTTGGGTCGGGATTGTAATTTATAGAGATGTACTATGTTTCATGTTTGTTTAAGGTGGCTTTGGGGAAAATAGATTATTTTCAGAACATGGCTTCACGTAAGAGTATATTATTGGAGAGCTTGAATTTGATGGTGGATTTTTGTATTATTGACTTTGAATACTGTGCATTTTACCCTGTTTAATAAATTATCAACCAATTTTATTAAAAATTCAAACTTTGAAAAATATGCCGTATAATTATTACAAATTATGGTTTCTAACAAACTCTAGTTACACACTAGCTTTTACAAATCTGGTATTTGTACAAGCATTACCATAAATGTGGTGATTCAGCAATATTGCACACTTCAATTTGGACATCATCTCATGAGTTTGCAGTTCTCCTAATTGCACCTCCTAAATGTCTTTGAGGATCAATATATTTGTATAGGATGAAAAAATGTACCATTTTCACTCCAAAATGTATGGACACCAGGCCTCCTAAATAGGATTTTTTTATTTATTTTTCCCTTGAACAATTTATTTTTTCTTTTGTTTTCTTTAATGATTTATGTAAAAAAAATGTGAATTTCAATTTGTATTAATTTCTAAAAGTGCCTTCTATAAATGGTTGTAATATATTTGTGTTAAGGATATCATTTGTACGTGTGATACCCATGGTAACGTGTGCACAAGAGCAGGTGTTGGAATATTGCTGTAATGTCTGGATTATAAAACATTATACGACACACCTCAAGAGCTGGGATGCGTCGTATAATCTGTTAGGTACGTGTGTGCTTTTGATCAAGTTTGTATAACCGTATTGACACCCGGCATAATTTTTTGGGATGTCTTACTTTAAGAAGTGTCTTACAATCTGGAGGATATGGTAAATTGCTTTAACATAATATAATGTGGAGTTATACCTTTTTTGTTTGGCATTTATTTTCATCCAATATACGAATATGATACATTGTATCACCACTGCATGATGGGAAGTATAATAAGAGTTTTTGGTGTATTTTACCCTTGGTTTTATATGACACATAAAACTGGGATATCTTTTATGTATGTGTATAAATGGCATAATGAACAAATTGCATGACAGTATACAGGATCTGTTTTTTGGCCAGTGTTGACTACACGAGACTTGGGTTAAAGTTGATTGTCAGTGACTCGGAGTTTGATGCTGCGCTATTCTATACTTACAAATGCATAAGGTAACTTTGGGTTGCATGTTAAATGGCATAATCCGGGGTGAAACCTCGTGGTCTCTTCGTGGTTTTTCTTTTGTTCATAATTGTATTCTGTGGAGCTGTTGGCAAAGAAACATTTTGGACAGTGTAACTTCAACCAAATTAAGTAATTCAGGTAACATCTATGTAAAATTGCACTTTTTCCATCTTTTGTACATACGGTGTACATATTTCTATCCTCCGCCATATTTCCAAGCCCTAGCGATTACAAGGATATGTTACAATTGCTTTTTAATTGCAAATACCAGTCACTGCAAGGTTAAAGAGCTAATTAAGATACTGTACATACATTCAATTTGAATGTTTCTTCATTGAGGTGGAATAAAAGTGATTCACAATACATCTCGCAGTATCTGCTTCTCGTGCTCTATGGTTTAACTGCAAATTACAGCCCGTTGTTAATCCACTGCTGGATGAAGGCCTTCCCGCAGAGTATCAGTTGTGGGTGTTTGACCATACTTCACACTTAGTGCAGGGTAGTAAAGATAGGATTCGGTTCGATATCTCTTGCCACTGATGTTTTTTTTATTTCACAGGCAGGGCTGTTTGTGCACTATGGCATTTTTATCTGTTGTAAAATTATTTAAAAGAAAAATATAGTCTTCTAAATGTTGTGCTCATGTTTTTGGCGTCAATGTACAAGAGGGGGCAATGTTAAGTTCTGTCCAGAGGATGGAGGGATTTTCTAAATATGAAGAAAAAAATACTTAGCCCTAATCACAGTGAAGTGCACTAACCACTGTGCCACAACTCCGTCGCCCCCCCCCCCCCCCTCGTTTTAAATAGTAAACGATTCAGAATTACGAATGTGTGGGCAGGTTTCTTCCATCCTCCCCCAACTCTGTCCAGGTATCTGTACAAATGGTTGCACCACAGTTCATCAATCAGCAGGCCGCATGTCGTGGGATAAAGTGTGGGAACTTCCACCTCTTCCAAGACAGCTGGCTGGCGTGGGGAAAGTAAGCCAAAGATACCCTCTCGAGAGGCACTGGAGCTCCCTCTTGGTGAGCCCCTCCTGCTTAGCAGTGGTGAGCGATTGCAGGGCTGAGCCTTTACCTTGTGAAATTAAACACGAATTGGCAGTGATGTATTTATAAAGTGGGATTTGCCAGCAGTCATTCTATAATATTGCAACGTATGCATGAGTGTTGTCGTGTTCATGTGAAGATGTATATACATTTCCATGTGCACACGAATTCACTTTATTATAATTGAACAAGCATAACAAACAATTGAAAATGCATTTTTAACATGTCTGTTCATGAAACACTTAAAAATGTACTTTCAAATCCACGCAACATTTTCTATGCGATTAATGTTTCACTGAAAAGTGCTTGAAAGTAAATTATTTCAAGGTACGGTGCGCAATTACAAAAAAATACATTTATAAGCTATGTTCTATTGGGGTTCTTAAATGTATACCTTTATATTTTTAATTTAAAATTACACTACCACAAAAGGTCCTATTCTGTTCATCTAACCGTAAATAGTGCTGGGATTATTTTCATAATTTGCACTTAGGATGTTTTGTCTTTACTGTATAGCACTGCGTCTTTTGAAATGAATTTGCTGCTTAAATGTACTAAAGGTATTGCACCATTTTTTTTGTTGACATCCACAAATAATGCAAAGCATTTCAAAAGTCATCCAAATGAAAGTGCAAACCAAACAAAGTTAATGAATGAAACCTCCATTAACTTCGTTATACACGGACGCATAAAAAAAGAGCAAGAACATGCGTCTATGAATGTGGAGGGGCAAATAAAATATAAAAAAGAGCACCTAAGTGGACTGGGTAGAAAAATCAATCGTCGGACTGAATCCCCACCGTTGTCATCCTGAGTTTACATACGAATTTCAGTCACCCCTTGTTTAATCCTTGTTATCAAGTGTAGAAATGTGATGGTCTCAAGACAGTCAACAGTGACCGCACACACAAAAACGCACTTTACATTATTATTTTGTTTCACTTAATATGGCTATAGTCCAGGTCTTAGATTTACAATATTTTTATATATATGGTGTCGCTGGGCATTTGGATACGGGAGGTGACTTGAATTTATGTCATTGGTCGTTTTCAATATATGATTCTGCAGGTTGAAGAACTGGCCTGCATTCCTTTGTCTCATTGGGTAACACTCGTACGGAATAATTGGAATACAAATTGGCAAAAAAAAATGAAACGACACCGACCACTTAACCAATTCTAACCTCACCTCCAACGTCGGCAGGCATTAGTGGCCCAAAATACCAAGGAGCCAGCAACAAACAGCACCCTTAAACTTGTAATAAATAAGAGTTAATATGTGGGCAGAGCAAAGTTATTAGAACTTGGAAACATCAACGATAAGAGGGAAGCGGGAGAAATAGAGGTACGTTGACCCGCACTGTTATGGTTGAACACTGTGGGTAAGACTGATTAGCTAGTCCATCTGGGTGGACCGATTCCCCAACACGGGTGGACGAATAAACGAATGGGGGGGAGTTGTATTGCCATCAGACTGCCACGCTGTCGGCGTCGTCGTCTTTGTAGCGCAGGTAGTTGAGCAGGGGGCGAGGCAGGGGCAGCTTTTCCAACAAAACCACTCGCTGAGACCCCACGCTGGCACGGATCTGCAGCCTGCACAGGTGCGCCAGCGGTCGTGGGCAGCCTGTCGTGCGATAGTGACAAGTCAACGGGGTAAGGGGCCGTCCATAAATTACGTCACTCACCTAGGGGGGGAGGGGGGAGGTCGGATATTTGCGACGATGTGTGACGAGGGGGGGGGGGGGGTTGAGAATTGTGACGTCACATCAAAATGCGCAACTTTAAATAAATATAGACAACACGTTCACCTTAATTAAATAGACGTTTTAATAAATATTTTCTCCTACAACATCAGAGTGCAGCGGCACGTTAAATACGCACTACAATGACAATAGTTTAAAGCGATTTGAAGCATGTTTTATTGGGGGGGGGGGGGGCAGAGCTTTATGACGTCATATTTGAGAGGGGGTCTGACTTTTTGTGACGCCGTGTGACGAAGGGGGCGGGAGGGGGTAAAAAATCGTCCAAAATCGCGTGACGTCATTTATGGACGGCCCCTCACTGGCATATCGTTACAGTACATTCAAATTTGGAATGTGACTGAAACCTGTTTAATCAGCTGTGCTGTGCCCATTGACAATATCTTGATGAGCGGCCTAGGTTGTTGGTTCACTCTTATGAATGTGAGCGGTTAAAGTTAAATGCTATATTTGTGTTTGCGGTGCTCTGTAATTGTCCTATTATTCATGACCCCCCCCGGTCTTCCTGTCACTTGTACACTGAAACAACTCCCTATAGCAGCTCGCCTCTCTGGATCACCTAGGTTGGAAGCAGACTAAAAGGAAACAGACTTAATGAGTTTATGAGTTTCAACACACACATACATTCGCACCTGCAATGTCTTTGACCAAGGTCCATTCCTGGAAAGTGTCGAGCTGCTCCTTAAGTCTGGAGCACAGGCGCACGTTGGCCACGAAGTGCAGGATGGTGTCTATGATGGGCCCGGCCCAGCTGTTTATCTCTGGGGACGCCACCATCTCACAGAACTGCACACGGAACAACAACAGCAACAGCAAGGACGACGACGACGGTGCCGTTCGACCACAATGGCAACTTTCATTGCAGACACCACACAGCCATTATGCAGCCTACAGTTTAAAGCAAACTTTGAAATGTATGTTGAGCTTCTTTCGCACCGTAACTAGCCAACCGTGCGAAACGGAGGTGCTGGGTAAGGACAACAAACGAAACACGAAAGCAGTTTTACAGAAATGAGTCTTCAATCCGGATTATTTAGAAGTGCACAGCGCCAGTGGCTTCTTTTTCTCGGAAAGAAGAGCGTGCCAGACGGCCGCAGAAGCACATCTGAAAGCACTGCGATGTGGTGACAGTCTTTGTAAATCCGACACGCACGTGCATGTACAGCCCTTTGTCAATCCACCGTGGGATGAGGGCCTCCCAACTGCGTGTCAGCCATGGCCGTTGGCTGACTGACCATACTTCACCACGATGGTCAGTTCAGGCTGGTGAAAGGGGCGGTGGGGTGGAAACCAATTAACTCGCTTCTGATGTTAGGGCTAGCCTGGATTTGAATGGAAGTTGCCGGAATTGTAGTACAGCGTGTGAACCGCTCCACTCTCACACAGCATCGTTTACCAATGGAAAATGATCATGGATCTCGCATATATGATACTCTGTGTGTATCGTGAGCACAATCGATTTTAACCTTAACCAGTATAGCCAACTTTGCAATTGTGTCGCATCAACATTGTGGGTTTCCCTAGTGACAACACTGTGTCAAAGCGACTCGCGACAAATATAGCGACGTTCTGAGACGAGGACCTTGTGCAGGCTGAGGAGCGATTCCAGGCCCTGTATTAAATAATCTGCATTGGTTTTTACTTCGTGTAGAGTACTTTGTAAATTGCCTCGCGAAACGCTTTATTACGTAGAGAATACAAGTATTTTTTTTCACGTCGGATAAATCGTCCGGTCATTTTTGTTTTATTAACTCAAAAGAGTTTGCGCAAGCAACAACGAGCGATTCTTCCAGGCTCCATAAGAGTGTTTTTTTGGGGGGGGGTTATATTGCGTAAATACAAATGTGTCATTAAGCCCGCCACCACCCGACAGCCAATTCGTAAGGCTTGTCACGGAAACAGAACACGCCAATTCGTTACGAGTACAGCACACCGGTGTGTTGGCGAGTAAATCCACAACACTTTACAATGTGAGTACGACGTGTCGCCAGTTAGCCAAACGAGGCTCGATTTGCTCAACTGTGCCCCCCCCCCCCCCACCTCTTGAGGAGTGAACAACGCCGCTCGTTAACCCGGCAGGGGACCGACCGACCGACCGTGCAGACCTGGAGGACGTTCCCAGGCCCGTTGAGCCACCTCTCCTCCCACGGCTTGAGCTTCTCGGGCAGGGGCGGGTGCTCCCCGCTGCCAAAGGGGCACTCGAAGCAGGCGCCACCGTCGGCGCCGCGCTCCAGCACCAGCTTGAGGATGCGCAGGTCCCGCAGGCACACCATGATCGTGGCCGGGAAGGCGGTGGGACGCGCGGGGATGTACGCGTTCACGTTGGCCCCGTGGTTCAGCAGCAGCCTCACCAGGGGGTAGGCGTGCATGCGCGAGGCGACCAGCAGCGGGTTGAGGAGGTCGATGTTGGGGTTGGCGCCCGCCTCCAGGAGCAGCTCGGCGCAGCGGTAGTCGCCGTTGATGATGGCGAAGTAGAGGGGCGTGGAGCGGCAGTCCTCGTAGAGGCGCGAGCGGTCCATGGAGAGCGTCGCGTTCACGTCCAGCCCGCCGCTGCTGAGGAGCAGCTCCAGGACGTCGCTGTGGCCGTTCTTGGAGGCCAGGTGCAGCGGGCTGATGCCGCTCCGCCTCACCTGGCGCTCGTCGGTCACGGGCATCAGCAGCTGCTCGACGATCCTGCGAGATAACGCGTGTACACACGCGCGGTGGTGCAGAGGTTATTGACGCTGCGCTATGAACCCGAGTTCCATTCACGTTCACGGTCAACACCGGTGACGATTATCTGAACCGGTCATGGGCCTCCTCCCCTAGGTCGACTCAGCCTCAAATGAGTACCCGGTGCGGTGTGTAAACATCGCCACTAGGGAGACAAAGGCGATCGGCAGAAAATATATTTTAATAGCGATTCCAGCAACCTACCCAGGGGGCATCGGGAGGGATTTATTTTTGTTATTTACATCCTAAAGTCCTAATATCAGAGAAGAAATTGCCAACTTTGTTGGCAATTTCTTCTCTGATATTGGGTAGGTCAAAGGTCAGAGTGCTGAACCAGCACCGCTGAGAACTTGGGTGTGAATCCAGGCCTGTGATTAAATCGGGCTCAACAGTGTAGGGAAAGTGCTGCCCTCTGCTGAGTTTTCCAGCAGGGTTTCGACTTGTCCTACTTTTTTTCCAGGTTTGTCCTCCTGTTGATGTAGCAGCTGTCTTGCTAAATTAGTAAGGCTTTTCCGGGACATTAAAAGTCACATTTTTTTGTCAATTACACAACAATACACCACTCTCATTCTTGTTCCCGTGATGTCCCATTTTTCTCTATCCCGGAGAAGGCAATCCTTCTGCAGTGGTAGCTTTGCGATATCCACCAACACGAAGGGTCACGCTGCCCTGCATGATATTCAATGGATAAATAATTAATTAGTCTCATGACAAGTGAATAAAATTGGGTGGGGGAAATAAGAAATATAATTTTTCAAAACAAGAAAAAATATTCGTCACATACCCTTCATTGCCATTGGCTGCCACCACGTGTATGGGCAGCAGCCCGTCCTTGGTAGGTCGGTTGGGGTCGGCTCCCTGAGACAACAAGAACTCCACCACGTCCGCGTGCCCGTTCTTGGCAGCTTCAAACAGCACCGTGGTGCCGTCACAGGCCTCGCTGTTCACATCAACACCTGCAACACAGCACCGTCACTCATGCCTCGCTCTTCACATCAACACCTGCAAAAAAAAAGCGGTCGTCAACCAGTAGCTCAAGAACACGTTCGTGATGGTGGTGGTGGGAGTACCTCCTGGCAGAGGGACGCCAAGGTGGACAGGGGGCACGGAAGGGTTGCTGCCCCTCGATAGATACAAATTGGTCGTCAAGTATTCGCGTGCTAGGTTAAGTGACGCCCACGGGATACGCCGTACCCCCTCCGTGTTCCCCCGAAGGGATGCCGTGAAGATGCGCGTCAGGACTACTCCCTCTCTGCGTTCCTCCTTGCCTTCATCACTGGCATCTATATTGGTGGTAAACTATCGCCTGTGCCCACCGAAACAGTAAAAGGACAGCACGGTTGTGCCACAGTGATGCGATCACGTGCGCACAGCAGGGCTTAAATGAAATTAGCTAAAGTCATCATTGTCACCATCAGCCATGATCTTTCCACTGCTGGATGAAGGCCTCCCCAAGCTGAACATAGTTTGTAGGTCAATCCCTGTAGATCCTTTCATTGCTCTATGAGTGGTGATGCTGTTTGTACTCTTCAAGCCCCGTGGTGCAAAGTGCAGTCTCCAACTCTTATTGCCTACCCTGTCTCTCTAACCTCTCTACTTGTGTGTGCTACGAATAAGAAGTAGGCCCATTGCCCGAAACGTTGCCTATCGCTCACTTTTCTTATTTACGAGGCCACGGTGTTGTTGTTTTTTGTGTTTTCAAGGAAAATATTCGGTTAAAAAATGAAGACCCCCCCCCCCCCCCACCGCGTGACCCTTACCCAGAGACACGAGGTACCGGACGACCTTCAGGCACCCGCACTGCGCCGCCATGAAGAAGGGACAGATGCCGAACTTGTTCTTGAACTGGAGCTTGGCCCCGTAGGCGACGAGCAGCTTCACCAGCTCCAGGTTGCCCTTCGACGTGGCCTCGTGCAACGGCATGTTGCCGTAGATGTTGCGGTAGTTCACGTCGGCTCTGCGCGCGATGAGCAGCGACGCCACCTCGGAGTTGTTTATTTCGCAGGCTGCGGCGACAGGTTTTTGAATGCGGCAAAGAGTTATTCAGAGATTTTGTTTTTTGAGACAGGGTCCATTTAATCGCTTTGCCAGTCGTAGCAACTGTCAGGTCCGGGAGCTTGTATCGAACTGGCGACGCGTCTATTTAAGCATTTTTATTGTGATGTACATATATATAATGTGTACAATGTATAGACTTAAATACAATGTATGTACATATATTCAATGAATGTAAATACATGCATTGAGCCATAACCATGGTAATTGAATAATAGTAAAAGGTAAAAGTGCAGCCCTACAATTACTTGTTCATGACATTGCTGCCAGAAGGACCGCCATTCACACTGCTGGGTGGATAGAGTTTTAACTTTCATGCTGGGAGATTGAACCGGTCATTTCTGGACTGCAACTCCAGTGTGCTAACCATTCGCCGTAGCAGCACGCCTCCCCCAGTACTGGAGATTACTTTTAAGGATTGCAGAGGGGGTTGGAAAGGCAAGGAAAGGGTGGAGATCAAGATCAAAGTTCAGACCACAAGACAGGCATCGTCGAAATGTATCAATGGCACTGCACTACGAACCTGGTTATTGGAGTTCAATTTCTTGTCATGTCCAATATCAGTTAAGCAATATATCAACCGGTCCGGGGCACCCCCCTCACCACACACCCGTCACCAACGCGTATTAACCAGCATGGTGAAGTATGGTCAAACAACCCCCATGACCGATATGGAACAGAGGGACATTTATCTGGCGTTGGGTTAAAAAAAGGCTGTACCCTGCAACACGTGCATGATACAGTCCAAGTGGAAATGGGAAAGGGAGATGGCAACGTCATTCGGGGTTGTGGAAAGTGCACGGAATTACAAATGTATTCTGTCGTGAATAAAGCAATAAAAACATAACATCGTCATTTAATGTTTAAATTGCTTCCCACCAGCTGTGAACTTAAGCTTGACCTTGTGGCTTTCACCGTCGGCCCCTCAGCCCTTTGTCCTCGTGGGGCGGGGGCCGTTGATCCCCCAGACTCCGAGACAACTCGCCTGCTTGCGCGTGTGGATGCCGGATCGGGAACGACTCGCCTTTGTAGAGCGGGGTCTCCTTGACGTGCCTGCAGGCGTCCACGGTGGCGTTCTCCGCCAGCAGAATGCGAACGCAGGCCACGTGGCCACGGTACGCGGCGAGGTAGAGCGGCGTCTCGTTCTGCTTGCTGCGAGCGTCCACCGTGTCGGGGTGAGCTGCAGCAGCGGGCGGAGAGCGCCGCGAAAGTTGAACGCGACGGTACAGCCAACGTGGCGACACGCTACGCCGACAGTTGGCAGATGCATGGGTCGGGGGGGAACGATTGGGATACAACCCACCCCACCCCCCCCCCCCCCCCCTAATGAGACCCTGAAAATTAGTGTTTTATTTATATTCACCAGATAAACTATTACATTTTGATTTAAAGCTTTCGTGACTGCAGGGATTCATATTCTGGGTTCTTTCGGTAAAGTCACGTAGAAGGGAAACAATAAAATAATAAAAATATAAAACAATAAAATTCTCACGACCTCTCGACTGCAACGCAAGCAATCAGCATCAGGTGTGAAAACCACAGCAAGAAAATTTGAAAAAACTGGCGGTTATTTTTAACGTTAGCTTACGGTGGCTTACAGACCGCATCCAATATTTTCGTCTCCCCCCTCCTCTTTTACGAACATAGATGGACTCGTCCATCTGAATAACTGCCAAATCGCTCTCCGTGGTGCTAACGTTAAAAAAACCCGCCACTTTTTTCAATCTTTCTTCCCGTGGTTTTCACACCTGATGACGATTGCTTGTGTTGCAGTCGAAACGTCGTGAGAATTTTTATTGTTTTATATTTTTTATTATTTTATTGTTTCCCTTCTACGTGACGGGCTGCAGCTGCTGCTCGCTCACCCTGGAGCAGGATGCCGAGGCAGCACGGCTTGTCGTGGTAGGCCGCCTCGTGCACGGCCATCCAGCCGTGCGGCGTGGCGGCCCTCAGCTCCGCGCCGCTGCGTCGCAGCCGAGTCAGCGCCGTGCCGTCATCCGCGGAGACGGCTTCCCACACCGGGTCCAGCAGCCTCCTCAAGGATGGCAACAGATGCGGAGCCTCAGATATCGGAGATTCGTTTTAGCCGCATCTGTCCCCGGGCAACTGAGCTCCAGAAGAAAATAAAAAAGAGAGATTTCTGCGCCCCGAACACCGCATCAAGTAACGCCTCTCGCAAAGCCTGTGGTGGCTTCTAGTTCTGCAATGCACCACACCTCCCGTTCCTACCAGGGTCTCCAGGATAATGTCTCCACGCCCGGCACATGTATCAGTGGCAAGGTTGTAAGCAGACCGCACTACAAACCTGGTTATCGAAGTTTCGATTCCTGGTCATGGCCAAAATCAGTTGAGAGATATATGAACCGGTGCGGGGCATCTCCCCCCCCCCCAACACACCCGTCACCAATTCGTATTGACCAGCATGGTGAAGTAGTATCACCTCTCGCAAAGGCTGTAGTCGCGTGCCACCTCCCGTTTATACCAGCGCCCCGGATAACATTCATGCACGCATTAAGCCCTCGGTCACCGTAAATTATCCGCCTTATTTGGAAGAGCAGGAAGAGCCCCTTGTTGGCAGTCACGGCTATGACCCGTTGCGCGCGGTCCCCACACACGCGGAAGACGCGCGCGTGACACGGGGGAGACGCGCGTGTGACATGGGCGCGCGGCCAGCCAGCGCCGCGCGCCACGTGATGTTTGCTGTGGTTCCACGTGACGGCTATTTAATCGCCTGTATTGTATTGCAGGGCGACAACACTGAGCCCTCGTCGTGTTCGTCGCATGCTTACTGCACAATAATAGTAACACGTAAAGGCGCAGCTCTTCCAATTGCATGCTCACGCTACTGCGGCGGAAGATCCTCAAATCCAGTTCTAAAAATAAATGCGCAGTAGGTGTCCATGTTTATATATAACTTGCATACACGTTAGGGATGAGTTTTGGGGTTCTTACAAATATATCTGAATGAGGATTTTCACATTTCTAAGGTCAATTTCGGATGTTCTTTTCGAATTTTCGGATAATGTACATTCTATGAGAGCTTAACGTTTCTTCTTGCTAACAAAATTAACATCGTCGTATGCCATATGATGCCATGTGATGCCACTATTAGGGGGGGAGCGCGGAAGTGGTGTAATCTAAGTGACATGTTTTCCTGTGATAGCAAACATTTTTTATTAATTCTAGAAAAAAATCTATTCGGATCAGAAAGTTTAATACGTAAGCCTGATTTCCAGATTTTTTTTCTCAGATTAATCACACACACTCCGGGACACAACCCTTGGAGTTTATGCACAGAGTATATGCACGGGAGAACCTTTATTAAACATACACACACACCTACCCTTTCTGTTCTTGAACTGGTGGTGGAATGCTCCTCCATGGACTGACTTTGTTTGTTGGAGGCTTAAAGAGGCCCTCCTGGTCCTGCGAGCCATGGGAGAACACGACCCTAACAACCCCAGAAGGGAATAATTGTTTAAGCATCATATCAGCCATTGCCGATCCACTGCTGGACGAAGGCCTTCCCGTGCCAACACCATCGCTGGTGGTCCTGCGATGCCACTTTCCATCTCAACGAGAAATACATATTTGGAACAAATATGACAAAAAACAATATACTGTACATTGCAAACAAGTAAGGTTATAGGTGGCTTGAAATAATATATTAGTGCTGAAGCAAAAATTGAGAAATTGGGAATTTGATTCAATGCAGACCTTAAAAATATATTTTTTTTATCTCAATATTGAACAAATTATATTATCAGGCATAAACGAATCGGTTCCTTGCCTGCCATGGCGAAGGGTTTTAATGGACTGCATGGGAAACAGCGAACCAGTAAATTGGATAAGCCGCAGTGTGAATAATGCACAGCCTGGATAATGTATGGAAGAATAAATGTCATCTAGCCACACATGCCAGATGTTCCTTATGCTTGGTAACGATGGGGGAAGGCACGGCACAGTCTGTTAAACAAACTTGAAACAAATGTTAAACGCTGAGCAGAATGAGTAACGATACGATCCGCTGGTGTCTATCGTGCATTCTGCTCGAGCTCTTCCGATTAGCGCGCACCTCTAATGAGCACAGTTGGCTACGTACGGTGCGAAAGAAGTTCAACAGTACACACGTACGTAGCTCCCACCCCCCCCCCCCCTGTGTACATGAGGAATGGCTGCGACACCCATCGTTTCAATGCACTCATGTGTGCTCCAAATGTTTAGCGCCACGGTGGCGAGATGTTAACGACCTCGTCTTGTATGCATTAAGTTGTGGGTCCGATATGGACCTTGACGCTTGTATATTTGGAGTTTGAGTGTTCTCCCCGTGGTGGCGTCGATTTTTCTCCGGATCCTCCGGTTTTTCCATCCACATTTAGAAACATGCGCTGAGAGTATTTGGCTGTTATAAATTTCCACACGATGAGCCACCTCGTTCAGCTGTCATTCGCAGCCAGGCCACTTCTGAACAAGCGCAGTGGGCCTTACCTGGTAAAATAAAAAAATAGGAAAAAAAGACTTCCATAATACAGGTGTTTTATGGGTTAGATCGCGTTAATATAAATGTGTCGTTAAACCCGCCACCACCCGACACAGCCAATTAGTAAGGTTTTGTCATGTAAATAAAGCATGCCAATTCGAATCTGGCTGTTACAAATCTGGCTATCCACCTGATGATGCTAGTTGTAATTACTGGCGAAACGTCGTACTCAGAATGTAAATGTTGTGGATCTGCTCTCCAACACACCTGTGTGCTGTACTAGTAACGAATTGGCACGTTCTGTTTACGTTACAACCCCTTACTCATTGGCTGTTGGATGGTGGCAGGTTTAACGAGACATTTATAAGTACGCGATCTATCCCAAAAAAACTGTATTACGGATGATATTGGTCACGAAAGCCTACGTGTTAAACCCAAAAAAATACTTCACTATTCTAAAAAAAATGATTTACTTCCAACCGGGAGTGGGTTCAGCTCACTTCAGCCAACACTCCTAGGGCTGATGCCTGGCATGGAATTCACCGACAACCCATAGCAGGATCTCACCACCCACGAACATTCTGAACTGAGGTCAGCAGACAGGGGGAGGTCTAATTTGAAGCCAGGGATTGTACAAAACGCAAGGTGGTTATACGGTACAAGTCAATGTCACGGTATCTCCACACTTATGCGAGCTTTGGGAAGTGTTCATATGCATTGGTAAAAACAAATATCAGCAGAACTCCATTCTATCTCTCCACATATTTATTTTTTAAATGTTTGCGTCGATTAGCCTATTGGACTGCCATATCAACATTATCAAGCAGCACTGGCCCAAGTCAGCAAAATCTGAACCGATTGCAATAATCTGCGTCTTGTTGGCACAGGCTTGCCAAACATGCTATAGGATTACCAGATGTTATTGGCAAATGCACTCCATACAACATGTGGGACCCTCTTCAGCGGCATATACGGTATTTGACAAACCTGAATTAGTGATGTTATTTTATTGCTTAAATGCCCTGGCGTCTCAAGAGTGACTTACAAATCCATCGAAAATACAAAACACATCAAGGCAATAAACGGAAGAGAAGAAAGGTGACTACCCTTTTGACCACTCCAGCTAAGAGCGTCAGCCAGCAAAACATCAATCAGTAAACACCTCAACTCAGCGTATCGAGCGACGCGCAAGCCTGTTGTTTCGACTGCTTCTATGCCATCCGCACTTCTCGAACAACCCACCGATTTTTTTTTTCCCCCTCGAGCGCGTGAACTGTGGGCGGAACTCAAGGGTTTGGAATTCACCGGCGGCCCTGGCTCCCCGGCGGCCTGCGGAGGCCCGGGGTCGCTGTGGCCGTGGCTGCGTTGAGTTGCTGGACCGGGGCACCGTCACCGCCACACACCTCCTGCAGACTCTGCTCCACGGCCATCCTGATGAGCTCCTCTTCCCCCAGGCTGCTGTAGAGGCTGTAGTCTTCCGCATCGAGGCTGTGGCCCGATGCCATGTTTTGTGAAGTGTGTGCGTGCCCTTCACACCGATCCGAGATGTGTGTGCGTGCGTGCGTGCGCAGAGGGCACGGGGTTGGTTTTGTCATTAGAAAGCCAGGGCCGTCTGGAGCTCAAATCTGTTCGGATAAATCGATTGCAATTTTGGTGACTATTGTTTTTGTTTCCAATAATACCGATCATGCTTTATGAGTTTAATCCCATTCAAGGAATATAGGCAGAGGAAGCATATTTTAGAATTTTTTTGAGTTTTGAAAACGTTTTGATCCAATACTTAGACACACTAAAACGTCTTTCAGTTGGTACCCTGCCAAATGTATTCTCAAGTACAGTGCAGTGGTTGTGCTTTAAAGAAGCACGCTGCCAGCACGCGTCTGTGACATTTCCTTCAGCAACCCGACACGGACACTAGATGCCCCACGCCTGCCCATAGCCAGCCACATGCCTGTGCACATTGCGATACAGCTCTTGAGCATGTCAATTAATCACGGCACCCTTCTACTTTAGCTGCAGTAACGATTAAGCAATCTCGTATGTACGCATGTTGAACTTCGTCGCACCGTACGTAGCCGTACTGCGCTAATCGGAGGTGCAATCTCGATAGTATTTGGCCACTATGCCGCTTCTTAATATTTCCGTACAGTTTAGCAACACGGTGGAAAGAAAAACCATGCCGCAACGCGCCGTTAACCTGTAACAAGTGGCAAAGCATGTGGCCTTCGTTACTGACACTGACAAAAGATAATGAGCACATTTAAAAAAAAACATTTTAGTTTCAAATTGTATTTTTACATGGCTACGCGTAAGGGTGGGAAACCTGTAAGCGTTCCCTCCGGCACGTTCTCACCGTGAAGCTGTGGCGACAGTGGCCAGGGTCCCAATGTCAGGGTCCAGACCACGTGAGTGGAGGCTGCTCGGTATTTTTGGACGAGTACATCGCATGACATTGGTGGAGGACAGGCGAGTTCATAATTTGACTTTTACATGACTACGCAGCACCGAGTAAAAAACAACTGCAGGAACTTTCTGTGTGGGGGGGGGGGGGGAAAGGGGGCAATGACGCAGCCCAGTGGTAGGATGTGCGCCGATTGTTGCGGAGGTTCACGGTTCGAATCTGGCAGGCCACCCTGATTAATACTGCAAGGCGTAAATTTACCATAAATTGCTGTTCTCCGTCTGCTTCACAGTGGACCTTAAAGATCCCGCGTTGTAGTTCGAAAAGAGTCGGCAACTGTTCACTGGCATCGTGCTCCGAATACAAAAAAAGTACCTGCAAATTACTCAATTACGATGACACATAGCAACAACACAATGTTCGTACATTACATGTATGCATGCACCTTGAACTTCTTTCGCACCATACGTAGCCAATCGTGCTAATCGGACGTTCTTATTCTTTAGAGGAATTGCAGAAAGGCTGAACGGAATTGGAGAAAAAACAAATTGTCAACCTTGATATTCTAAGGGGGCATCTCACGATATTCAATAACGCAATTATAAATGCTCGACGGTCTTATTTTTCGAAATTGGTTGAATAACCATCAAAACAACCCAAGAGTACTTTTCTAAACAATTGAGAGCCTTATTAATCTGGCCCCTATACACCTCTCTGACCACATCGCTGTTTCCAAATGTGAAGAGTTTGCGGCATACTTCAGAGGCAAGGTAACTACAGTTAGAAATTATAAAATACAAGATAAACATAATATGTGCGAATCCTTGCTCCAGTGCCCCAGCCCACTGCATGAAAAAACAACGAGCACCTTTACTTTTGTCAGCTCGGAGATGCTAAGGCAAGAAGTAATGGACGTCGAGCCTTCAACCTGCTCACTTGATCCTATCCCGACCTCCTTTAAAAAATATATATTTGTGTGGTCGAAGAATTGCTTGCCATTGCAAACCACTCGCTAGCTACAGGTATTTGTCCCAAGAAACTTAAGACCACCATGGTGAAACCGCTTCTTAAGAAAAGTAACCAGGATCCGCCGATGGCTCAATAATTTCAGGCCAATTTACAACATTTCGTTTGTAAGTAAAATTCTAGAAAACTTAGTTCTCAAACAACTAAATGTTTACCTCAATACTAACTGTATATTTGGGAAATTCCAATCTATTTTTCATGCTCTACATAGCACTGAAACAGCTCTTGTTAAAATTGTTAATGATCTAAGAATTAACACGGATGACAAAAAAAGCATCGGTTCTTGTACTTTTGGACCTGAGCGCAGAATTCGATTAGGTTGATCACAATATTCTCGTTGATAGATTGCGGAGATGGGTTGGCCCCTCCGGCACAGTGGCCAATTGGTTTAGTAGCTATTTGACCAGTAGAGATAAATTTGTATGTCTAGGTGATATTTCATCCTCAAAAACAGAAAGTACGTGCGGTGTTCCACAAGGCTCCATTCTGGGACCTGTTTTTATTAAATCTTCATCATATGCTACCACTAGGCGGTGTCAACAGGAAATAAGGCATTGATTTCCATTGTTATGCTGATGATACACAACTTTACATTTCTGTATCGCCTAATGATGTAAGCCTCATTTAGAACCTGACGAAGTGCATTGAGGATATTAAAATGTGGATGTCACATAATTTTCTGGTACTCAACAAAGATAAAACAGAGGCGCTGGTCATTGGAGCAAAAGCCCAAAGAGATAAAATGCTCACAAATTTAAGCTCGTTGACAGAAAACGCCAAACTGCAGGTTAAAAATATCGGTGTTTTGCTTGATCCGGATTTGAACTTTGAAGCCCACATTAGATATGTCACCAAAAACGGCCTTTTATTATCTCAGAAACACAGCAAAGGTACAGCCTTTTCGCTCTCGGTCTACTCCTGAGAGACTGATGCATGCTTTTATCACCAGCAGACTCGACTACTGTCATGCCCTCCTGTCTGGAAATTAATAAGTAAACTGCAACTAATTCAGAATGCAGCGGCACGTGCACTGACGAAAACCGGGAAGCGCACCTAAGGAACACCCATTGGACGATCCTTGCATTGGCTGCCAGCCAGTCGTAGAATTGATTTAAAAATTATTCTATTGGTTTTTTTTTAAGTCGTTGAATGGTCTGGCACCTGTATACATGTCTTCCATCCTTTTGAGATATGAACCAACAAGATCCCTCCCAAAGGCCAGGCAACCAAAAACCTGGGGAGAAGCGGCGGCTTTGAGCGTTCACAGTCCTCGCCTGTGGAACAGCCTGCCAGTGGATTGGAGGGCTTCAGAATCATTAAGCACTTTCAAAATATATCTAAGAACTTACTTTTTTAAACATGCTTTTAATTAGGATTCTCTCAACGTGTTATTTTGCATGACTTTCCTAGAAATTTGTGACGTGATTTAATTTTGCCTACAATTTCACTTTCATTGTTCATGCCTGTAAAGCACTATGTATTGCATTTTTTTGCACGAAGTGTTATAAAAAATAACGCTTGATTGATCGACAATGAACTAAACACAACAAATAAAAGCGTTTCCAAGGAAAATACATTTATTGCACATTACAACACTGCCTTTTGGATATATTACAAACTGACTGATGATTTCTATGCAATAAAAAATGCAAGTAAAAAACAAAATATACATTGAACGTAAAATGAAATCCTAACGCTCTCATCTAGTGCAGAAAGCCATCGTAAGAATGCCTGTGCATAGAACGAGTGTACATAATCAGCTTATAAAATAGAGTAGACATCATTAAAGGCATGGCTTTGCAATGCTCGTGCCAATAAGTTGTAGAAGTCTATAGCTTAGATGTGATTTAAAGTAAATCCTGATGATCGTATACCGCATATAAACAGTACACATACGGTGCTTAATAATAGCAAGCCAGTTAACGCTATTAGCCTGAATTCAGCTTGTTTACATGCAGACAATCCAGGCACAACTTACTATGGAGTTATTTACACTGTTGAAAAGTATTTGCAGCGTACAATTTAGATTTCATAATATATTACTTTCACATTTTTGTAGCTGAAGCTCGAAGCCCTATACTGTATCGGCCCTATAGTGTCGGGACATGTGATAGGCACGTAATAAAGCACCCCTATGAATTGTTACCACATGGGGCCGCAATTAGATTCGAGATTCGATTACATTTTCTTTCGCATTTGTGATTCACGTAGAATCGCGAGTGGATCCAGGGTTATAGCGGATAGAGGATGATATGCCGATCAAAATTAGCAGCCCATTACATGCACAGTTCAACACATGGACAATTATAAGCCTAACAATCAATCTGAATTGACGAATCAATGCATCGCTGCATTCGTAACCCTGTGTTATGATTGCTGTACAATCACATATCCCAGGATTAATTACTGCACAATTGGATTTTCCGTAGCTCCCAAGCATGCTGTGGCCATGTGTGGAACCGTTTAACACGAATTGGCACGTTCTGTTTACGTGACAAACCTTACTAATTGGCTGTGTCGGGTGATGGCGGGTTTACCGACACGTTTATATAATTTACGCGATCTAACCCCCAAAAAACCTGTATAATGGATGTGTGGAACTGCAGATAACATTTGACGAAACGACCATAGTTCTGGTACACATGAGCTCACAGCTTCGGGGTTGTACTGCACCCGAGGGGAGAAGAAGATATGACACCTGACTGACTTAAACATCATCTTCGGGGATGGCTCGCACATCAGCAATGTAATTGTAAATATTGTGCATTTACTATCCAACGCACCGGTGGGCTGCAGTAGTAAACTAATTGGCGCGTTTTGTTTACGTGACAAACCTTACTGGCTGCGTCGGGTGGTGGAGGGTTACGACACAACATTTATACTTACGCGATCTTACCCCAAAACCTTTATTACCAATACACTTGACATCGGTGGCACGAAAGAACGGCTCGCGCTGGAAAGCATGAGCCTCAGTGGAACACACAGCCACCCCTTATCAAGCGAGAAGCCTGCTCTCAGTCATGGCACAGACGCGCCGTGAGGCGTGAAATGTACAGTGAGGGAAAAAAGTATTTGATCCCCTGCTGATTTTGTACGTTTGCCCACTGACAAAGAAATGATCAGTCTATAATTTTAATGGTAGGTTGATTTGAACAGTGAGATACAGAATAACAAGAAGAAAATCCAGAAAAACGCATGTCAAAAATGTAATAAATTGATTTGCATTTTAATGAGGGAAATAAGTATTTGACCCCTCTGCAAAACAGATCTTGCATGGAGCCCCAGGCCGAGGGAGATTGACAGTTCTTTTGTGTTTCTTCCATTTGCGAATAATCGCACCAACTGTTGTCACCTTCTCACCAAGCTGCTTGGCAATGGTCTTGTAGCCCATTCCAGCCTTGTGTAGGTCTACAATCTTGTCCCTGACATCCTTGGAGAGCTCTTTGGTCTTGACCATGGTGGAGAGTTTGGAATCTGATTGATTGCTTTTGTGGACAGGTGTCTTTTATACAGGTAACAAGCCGAGATTAGGCGCACTCCCTTAAAGAGTGTGCTTCTAATCTCAGCTCGTTACCTGTATAAAAGACACCTGGGAGCCAGAAATCTTTCTGATTGAGAGGGGGTCAAATACTTATTTCCCTCATTAAAATGCAAATCAATTTATAACATTTTTGACATGCGTTTTTCTGGGTTTTTTTTTGTTGTTATTCTGTCTCTCACCGTTCAAATAAATCTACCATTAAAATTATAGATTGATAATTTCTTTGTCAGTGGGCAAACGTACAAAATCAGCAGGGGATCAAATACTTTTTTCTCTCGCTGTATGCTCAGTCGTCTTCTCCGTATTTGTGGAGCAAGTAGTCTCGCAGTCTCTTGGGCAAAGGCAGCGAATCGATCAGGCGCATGCGTTGAGATTTAAACATGCTTCTGATCGTCATCCTGCACAGGTGGGAGAGCGGACGTGGGTTTTCTGCGGGAGCACAAAGAGCGGAGCATTACCGTCGGCACAGATAAACACCCGGGACGTTTTTTTTTAATTTGTTCAAACCCACGTGCGTGGTGTGCAGTTGCTATCGGAAGATCAATACAGAGCGGCAGGAAAATACCGAGGCGTTCGATGTGCTTTCAAACTGAGAACTCAACATGTTTGTCAATGCCACTGCGACCTGGGGCTTCTTCAAAGCACCTAAAATATGGGCGACATTTCGGGCAATGGGGCTTCTTCAAAGCACCTAAAACATCTACATCTGGATATTTTATGTTTTTGGATTGTTATCCGTCGAGCAGCGGGCATCTGACGACGTGTGTTCAGTTGTATAAAACTGCATTTGACCATTTCTCAAGTCCACTTAAATGTATTAAAAAACAGTACATTGTGTGCTATTATACAATACAATGTACTCGACAACACGTTGTATAATAATTCAACTCAGTACCCATGACAGACGGCTATAGTTTAAGCACGAGTTTGTTGTTGTTTCCACCCCCCCCCCCTCCCCCTCCCAAGGCTCAGCACAATCAGTTCACTACGCTCGGCAGATCGAAACATTTGAATCGACGGCGCTTTGTCGCCCGTCAAGGGAAAAAATACTCTTCCCCCAACAACTACGCAGCGACGACGCTCGACCGCGTCGGTCGCTCGCACACTACCCCCTCCAGGCACGGCCGCCCAATCGATCGGACGCAAGTGCGCGCGCCCCTCTCTCCACAGCCCCCCTCTCTCCACAGCCCCCCTTTTCCGAAGGCCCGCGTACGGAAACGCAGCGCGTAAATGACCCGCCAAGGAGGCGAAGGGGGGGGGGCGGGGGGGGCAACGTGCACCGCCGAGCTGAGCCGAGCCACGCACCTGCCATCTCGATGATCGGGCTCCACTCGTGGTAGCTATCGAGCTGCTCCTTGATCCGGGAGCACAAGCGCACGTTGGTCACGAAGTTGAGGAGGACGTCGACGATCGGCCCAGCCCAAGACTCGAGCTCGTCGGAGACCAGCAACTCGCAGAACTGCACACGCGGAACGGCGCGCCGTGGCGTTAGGACCCCTTCGCAGCGACCTACGCCGGAGACGCCACGCGTGCAATTGTTGTTTGTTGTTGCTGTCGTCGGCCTGTGACTTTCCACCGCTGGACAAAGACCTCCGCCATCCTCCTTCACGCCCTTCCCTTGCCGAGTTGCTCTTGTCCACAAGCGACCTCGCGACGCGTCACGCACCTTGTGCGCTTTGATTTGTTTTGCTTTAACGACGGCGTCGATGACCTCTTATTCTCCTTCTTTCTTTCTTCTCTGCTTAACCCATCGCCATCGTAGATGCCACGCAACTTGTATTGCAGGTGCCAAACGTACTGTGATGGAGCCTGCACTTTAAATAGAGTTTTTTTGTAATATCCAGCACGTTTGCACAGGTACAGCCCTTTGCCAATCCACTGCTGGATGAGGGCCTTGTCAACCTGCGTAGTTAATGGAATTTATTTGACTAAAACTTCGCTACGCTCGTCAGTGCGGCTTGGCGAAGGCGAGGTGCATAGACGTGAGGCCAAAGTACAGTCCAACAATAGGTTTTGCTGCTCTGCCCTCTGACAACCAGCGTATCACCCGATAAATGTTGAATCATCTTCTTTGGTTCTTTCGGTAAAGTCACGTAGAATGAGAATAAAATAATAAAATAAAATAAAATTCTCACGACGTTTCGGCCACAACACAAGCGGCCTTCTTCAGGTGAAGGAACAAAAAACTGTCGGGACGACAGAGCTCCAATGAACGCTGCTAAGATTCGTAGCGTCTTTTAAGCTGGTTGAGAGAAGAGAGGCACCTTGACAAAGGGGTTAACATATCAAGGTGCCTCGCTTCTCTCAACCAGCTTTAAAGACGCTACGAATTGTAGCAGCGTTCATTGGAGCTCTGTCGTCCCGACAGTTTCTTGTTCCTTCACCTGAAGAAGGCCGCTTGTGTTGTGGCCGAAACGTCGTGAGAATTTTATTGTTTTATTTTATTATTTTATTCTTATTCTACGTTACTTTACCGAAAGAACCAAAGAAGATGAATCCTTGCAGTCACGAAAGCTTTAAATCGAAATTTAACTGTTGAATCCTTACACTCGGCGAGAATTGCCTTTGCCTTATATTGATGGATGGCAATGTCAGCACGACCTGCTACACTGGAGGATGATATGGATCCCTTCTCAGTAGTAGCTAAGAGGCTCGATCCCTTACACATGTAAGTGCAATTGATCGTTCTGTGTTTGCAGACTCAAAGTTTTGGTTTTTTTGCAATCTTTCTGACCTCGGTGCTGTTTGGTAATACGTTTTGTATGTGATGTGTTCCATCAGCCTTGCTGTATTCTTTGTCTTGGTTGTACCAGGCTGACGCACAACCGAGTTTCTTTGGTGTCACCAGGTCCCTGATTGAAAAATGAGCGTTTATTGCCCAATGGGTTTTACCTGTGCCACAATAATCCAAACAAACCGCAGGACTTCTAATTGGACTGGAGAAGCTTCCAAGCAACTCCTTTGTGCCGGCCGGATGAGTTTAGAGAAACCAGGGATTAGCTCGGGAGCAGGAGCAAGGCCTATGGATTGTTACATCGCCGCAAAGAGCGGTGATGACTTGGGAAGGCCTTCATCCAGCAGTGGATAAAACATGGATGATTAGGATGAAGGTGTTGATGAATCCACTGGCTCTCGTTAGATTAAAACAACTCCAAAGCACAGCACAATGTGTACAATGCACGCATAACGAAACTGAATATCCTCAATACACATGCAGGTGTTACAGGCCCTGCTTATCAATCCTACCGCTGGATGAGGGCTTCTCCACACGGTTCAAAACAATTCCCAGTGCATTGGATTTTTCTGCACCATGCTCGCACGGCAGTCACACGTGCGAGCATCACCCAGGGCCCTTCAACCCTGCCGAGGTTGGCGAGACTCGATCCTCGACTGCCCCCCAACGCGTCCACCCCAAACCGGACACGGTCACATAGGCACAAAGACATGCAAAGACAAAGATCCCACTCACAGCCTTAACAGACTGTTGGGGCGAGTGCTGTTACAAGTAGCAGCACCTATGAAGGCCGGCACTGTACACAAGGGGGTGGGCGGCCAGCACCATACCCGAACCGCCTTTGTTTCCGCAGCGGCGATGTTTACGCACCGCATCAGGTACTCATTTGAGGCTGAGTCGACCTAGGGGAGGAGGCCCAGGACCAGTTCAGACAATCGTCACCGGTGTTGGGCGTGAGCGATAAATCGATCTCGGGTCGCCGGGTTCATAGCACAGCGCGCTAACCGCTACACTACCGCTCCCCACACGGACACACAAAGACAAAGATCCCTCGTATAGCCTTAACAGACTGTAGGAGCAAGTGCTGTTAGCGAGCACCTATGAAGGCCGGAACGGCACACGAGGGGGTGGGTGGCCAACACCACGACCGGCCGTCTTTATCTCCCCAGTGGCGATGTTTACACATCGCACCAGGTAATGATTTGAAGCCGAGTCGACCTAGGGGAGTCCCAGGACCGGTTCAGATAATCGTCACTGATGTTGGCCGTGAGCGGTAATCGAACCCAGGGCGCCAGGCTTGTAGCCCAGCGTCGCGCTAACCGCTGCACCACCGCTCCCCACACACGGACACGCTGCGCTTCTCCCGCACGCTCCGCCCCGGCGCGCCCGACACGCCGGGGCACTTACGTGCACCACCCTGGGCTGGGCGTTCGCCCGAGTGTCGTCCGAATTCCTCCTCTTCGGCGGCACGGGCGGGTGCTTCCCGCCGCCGAAGGGGCACCGGAAGCAGGCCTCCCCGCTGACGCCGTGCCTCAGCACCAGCTGGAGGGTGCGCAGGTCCTGCAGGGAGAACATGACGGCGGCCGGGAAGGCGGTCGGGTGCGCGGCGACGCACGCGTTCACGTCGGCCCCGTGCGCCAACAGGAGCCCGACGAGCGGGCGAGCGTGGAGGCGGATGGCGACGAGCAGCGGGTTGATGGGGTCCAGGTTGGGGTCGGCGCCGGACTCGAGGAGCAGCTCGGCGCAGTCGACGTCGGTGGTGGCGACGGCGAAGTAGAGGGCGGTGGTGCGGCGGTCCTCGTAGAAGAACGAGTGGTCGTCCGACAGCTGGAAGTTGACGTCGAAGCCGCTGTTGATGAGGATCTGCAGGACGTCGTAGTGGCCGTTCTTGGCGGCGAGGTGCAGCGGGCTGATGCCGCACCGCTTGATGCGAGCCTTTTTCGTGACGGGCAGCAGGAGGCAGACAATTCTGTGTGGGTGGTTTGCGGACAAATGGGTGTTAATATATTTTTAATTTACGTTTTCGTTTTATGCATATCGCATCTCAAAACTCTGAACACTGCGACGCATATTTTTTTACCTAAAAAAACGGACGAAAACGCCGCAGAGAAACAAAACGGGAAAGATGAAGGGTACAGGCATAAACAAAACGCATGACTAACGTAAAAAGGTAGGCACAGCAGTTACACAAAAAAAATGTTACTTGATTTTTACGTAAGATTCAATAAAATCGGGTTACATAGGCCACGGAGTGGCAGCCAAGGAATGGAACACCGTCTGAGAGGCAGTCCGCCGTGGAGACGGAGCTATGATATCAGCGAATGCGCGGGTGCTGGGTGGATTGATTCTCGCGTAGCCAGGATCGTGCGGGGAGGTGGCGGCATGGGGAGGCCATCATCCAGCAGTGGAGTGACCACGTCTTTTTAGGATGATAGGAAGAACCTGCATCTTTTTTTCTTTTTACACACAAGGTGAAATGAAATCAAGTTGCATCGGCTAAATGAAAGCGGTGGTGCCGAGGTGGCAAAAGTATTGTGGAGGCACGGAAGCCGTTGTGGGTGTGTGTGGGGGGGGGAACCGGTGGCGGTGTATACGAACTATAATCTTTAAAAATGAACCGGTAAGTTTTGATCAGGTTCAATTTTGATGTTTCCGTGAGCGACGACCGGCCCCAATGTCCCTCCCCCCCCCAACCACCACCGACGAGCCGCCACGGTGCGCGGGGGCCTCACTCCTCGTTTCCGTTTGACGCGGCGATGTGCAGGGGCAGCAGGCCCTCCTTGGTGGGCTTGTTCGCGTTGGCGCCCGCCGACAGCAGAAACTCCACCACGTCCCCGTGGTTGTTCTTCGTCGCCTCGTAGAGGGCCGTCGCTCCGTTCCTCGCTTCCGTGTCGATGTCAGCACCTGCAGGCGGCCGTTTCGGAATGTTTCAACCGGTTAATAACCCTGAATCTCGGAACGTGCGAGCAGTTCAGTATGTTTATTTTGTTTGGAGAGGCGTAGCGCCGTCGTTTTGAAAGACACTGTACTCACCGCAGAGAACTGTAGCGCCCACACCGCACTCTATGATAGCTGGCGCCAAATTTTGCCACGCCCTCCCGCGTGGCCTTGTGAGAGCCTCGGTACCGATAAAGTTATTTTACTTTTAAAACGGATGACGTACACGTACGTCATCGGAACGGGAAAGGGTTCGTGATCGCACATTTAACTGCGCTGCTTTAATCAAATATGTTGGCGTTCCTTTGCCGTATCTTTCCGTCAAAATCATTAAAATATATGCATTTTGACGAAGTGTATTTGTAAAAGACATTCTCGAGAAACACAATAATCATTAGTGTCATCGTGGAAAATATAAGTAACCCTGAATGCCGAAACAAGTCCACAGTTCGTTTACGTTAAACCAAAGTTTCTGGAGAAAATAAAAAAAAACACTCGCAGAAGGCCATCTAGTCGATGGGATGACCGGGAGACAGATATGGGAAGGGGGCATATTGTCTGCTTTATTTATTTTGAAATTCTGAAAGCGCCTCTTTCGCTGACAAATTTCACTTTACTCATTTCTAAACACATTAAAATCAGCGGACCATCAATCACTCTGGGAATATATCTCGCGCCTTATAATTCCTATCCAGTGGAGATTTAACGTACAACGTTTACCATTGCGCACTCCCCGAATTGTCAGGCCTGCCTCCAAAGAACGCTCTCCCACAAACACGATGTTTTGCATGCCCTGCTGGTCGCACTCATTACATACGAAGTGCTCTCTTCAAAAGAACCACAATACCTTGCTGATCTCGTCAAGGCGCATAAACCATCGCGCAAACTCCTGTCATCCTCGCAGCAGCGGCTTTTGGCTAGCCATCGAAATAAAAGACGGTCACCGCATCGCGCGCCGTCTGGAACGCTCTTCCTTCCCATATTAGGAAGCCACTGGAACTATGCACTTTTAAATCTCCATTGAAAACTAATTTTCTTGAGAACTCCTTTTTGTGTTTAGTTCGTGGTCCTTCCCCGGCACCTCCGATTCGCGCGGTTGGCTACGTACGGTGCAAAATTAGTTCGACATACAGAGACACACACGTCCATGCATATATACATAGAAACACACGTGCATGGATGGATACATACATACGTGCTCGTACCAAGGCTCACGAGGTGTCTCAGGATGGCCAGGTGGCCACATTCGGCCGCGACGAAGTGCGGCGAGACACCGTAATCGTTTGCTACGTTCATCTTGGCCCCGGCGGACATGAGGAGGATCACCATGTCCAGGTTGTTCTTGGAGATTGCCTCGTACAGCGGCGTGTGGCCGTGGTTGCCGCGGAAGTTGACGTTGGCGTTGAACTTGATGAGGAGCGAGACTGCCTCGATGTTGGCACATTCGCAGGCTGCGGGGACAACGAGTTGGAGCGTTCACGGTGGGACTATGAATGCAGATATATTACAAAGAAACAAAAATACACTTTACATGCGTATCTTAGCAGTTTGAACAATGGTACAAATGGATTAAATTACCGCCCCCCTCCATCTCCGCTTCTGTCCACCCTGCAGTGGAACTGGGTATGCAATCGGTAGTTTGCGAGTGGCGGGATAAAGGTGTGGGTACTCCCACCTCCTAAAAGACACCCGGCCAGTGTAGAAGAGTAGGCCAAGATACCATCTCGGGGGGCTGTCCAGAGCGCCCTCGAGTAGAGGCCCTTCTGCCAGCAGCGCCATGAGCATGCAACTGCAGGGCTGCGCCTTTACCTTAAGTCATGTACTTGACACAGCCTGTCTTTGGAGAATGCATTTTTTCCAGTTTGAAGTTTGCCTTAGAAAAAAAGCTAAGTGTCATTTGTTTTTTTATCTGGACCAATGCGCTCATTTATTCTTCAAATAGCCGTAAAACAGACTTCACCGAAAAGAGCTTTCAACAAAAAAACATCTAAAATATAACATTTAAAAGCTACCGCCTCTCTCAACACATTTTGGCTACCCCCTAGTGATGCCTCGTGATCTTATTGCGACGTTGAGTTTTTTGGGTACTTTTTGTAATTTGTTAGTGTATTTTTGATAGTATTTTTTGTTCATATTTTTTGTCAGCATATTTTTGTTTGTTATTATTTTTTGTTGTTAATATTCATCCGTAATATTGAGCAAACAACAAAACGCGCAATGGATCTCAGCGTTGACGCATTCCCTCTGCTTTCGGCTAACGGCGTCGTGCCCAACAGTCCACGCGGTGTCGCTCGCGGCTCGTCCGCGTTCCCAAAGGGGCATGGTGCCCTCTAGGGGAGAGAAGTCGACTCAACACCAACTACCAAAAAAATGGGACTTTTTTGCCAGTATCAAAGTATGACGTTCTAGTATTGGCGTTCTCTGGTCTGACACTGGTGAGACAAGGCCCTAAAGAAGGCTGTCTCTGGTGTAGACCAATACGTTTCAAAGACAATGCCATTTATTATAATAAATGATAATTATCAGAGCGTGTTTTGTTTGCATGTTCACCACAGGTACTGTGTGTGGTTAATGCAGACTTCGTGATTCCTTGCAAAAGGTTTATATTTGGTGTTTGAACATCTTAACACAACCGTTTTATGGCCATAAAGGGTAAAACCAATTCTTATTTTTCTCATACAAACAACCGTATGTCCCTTACATCAGGACCGAGATCCCATAACGTGAATCCACGGGCACCAGATCAATAAGACATGAATATAGATTAAACCACGGTCCCGCGGGGCTGGCGAGGGTAGTTGATTTTGGGAAATGATTTAAACGTCACACACTTTTAATGTCGCCGAACTATTACGAGCAACCCCGTGGCTCTCGGTTGTAGCACCACAACCTCTCCACGGTACGGCAACTCGTCGGCTACACGTGAGCAGACTGCAACGAACGCGACGGTGTTCAGCTCGTAACTTACAGCACGATTGATTGGAAGCATGCCGCTGTGCAAGAGAAGCAAAACTCCCGCCGAGGTGGCCGTGATTGGGACTTGAGAATCGCGCAACGCTCTTGAGATTAATCCCAGCGCCACTCTTGAGTGCAGTGTGGGGGTGGTCACACCACACGATTCATCGCCGTGTCAGCTTGACGACCCGTCGCGATTCGCGGCAGCAATTCGACTCGCAAACCCCTTTTCCTTCGGTTTACCACGTGGTAGGCTTTTCGCGACCAATATTATTCATAATAAAGGTTTTTAGGTTAGATCGGGTAAGGATAAATGTTGTGTCGTAACCCTCCACCACCCGACACAGACAATTAGTAAGGGATTTTTCCCGTAAACAATATGCCAATTAGTTACTACTTTAGCCCACCGGTATGTTGGAGAGTAAATCCACAACATTTACAATTTGAGTAGTCCGACGTTTCGCTGGTAATTACATCAACCAGCATCATCGGGCGAGTTGCAAGAATAGTTAGTTTTTTCTTTGTCTTGCCGTCTCGCTTGTTTCACTTTATTCATACAGATTTGTGTGTGTCGGTAGGCTACATCTAATGTGAACGTTTATTTATTAACATATAGTACGCACTGATCGCAATTAATTGATTATTAAGTGCACGATTAAATTACAAATGCATCTAATTTAGTCCATGAATGGGTACATGTTACAACATCCCTGCTCGCAGCTGACGGTTCTCGTTTTCCACTTATGCAAGCTTGCCAGAGAACAAGATATTCATGTACGCCAGGTAATTGATATGCGTGCACTTAATTCAAATTAATTTCAACGTGCTGGCCTTGCACAAGAAGCGGAATCATCGCGTCGCGGTCACGCATAATCGGCCTTGAAAAACGCTAAAGACTTCGTGATCAATGTCTCCTCCCTGATAACTTTAATCTCCATTGTCTTATGGTTGTTATTGTTGGACTTGCATCCCACTGGGATGTTTGCACACAGCGTTGAAATGCGGTGTTTTTTTTCTGGAAGACTTAGCTGTTATTTCCGGGATTTTGTCTGTTTGTGCGTAGTCACTTGAAGATGTTCCTCGTTCGTGTTTTTGTTTGTTGCGGTTGCACCCGAGTCAAGAGCCGCATGGCTCACAGGGCTACACCTAATAAATGAAACTGATAAACTCCCTCCCTTGATATTCAGAGCGACATGCGAGCGGATTTGCCTTGGTGCAGTGGCGTCTCCTTGTAGCTCTGGCACTCGTCCGGGGAGGCGCCCATGCCCAGCAGCACCTTCATGCATTCCAGGTTGCAAGTGCCAGATGCCAGCGTCAGCGGAGTCTCGTTGTTACGCGAGCGGAGGTTGACCAGCTGCGGGTACTCTGGGTTCCAGAAACACGCGCGGTGCAACGTCGCATATCCGAGCCGCTGGGGCACTGATGTACAGGTAAAAATGTGTAGAGGTCAGAGACGTGAACGTCTACGGAAAGGAACGGGTCACAACGCCACCGTGCACCAATAGGTTGTACGTTGCACTTCTTTCAAGCCGTACGTAACCAACCGTGCTAATCGGATGTGCCGGGGAAGGGCAACATACTAAACACAAAAAGCAGTCCTAAAGTTGACCCCACTGATCAAACAAAGGTAAACAATTGCTGCTACGCGTGGCGGCGTCGTGGTTAGCACTCTCCGACCTAAAAACCCAACAACCCGAGTTCAAGTCCCAGCCACTGCGAACGTCAGTGTTGAGTTGACATCAGCACCTGTCCCAAGCCTGCCACTTTCACCTGCAATTAGCACGGTTGGCTAAGGGGGCGTCCATAAATGACGTCACGCGATTTTGTACGATTTTTGACCCCCCCCCCCTCGTCACACGGCGTCACAAAAAGTCAGACCCCCCCCCTCAAGTATGACGTCACAAAGCTCTGCCCCCCCAAAAAAATATATCTAAAACATGCTTCAAATCGCTTTAAACTATTGTCATTGTAGTGCGTATTTAATGTGGCGCTGCACTCCGATGTTGTAGGAGAAAACATTGATTAAAAAGTCTATTTAAGTAGAACGTGTTTTCTTTATTTATTTAAAATTGCGCATTTTGATGTGACGTCATATTTCTCAAACTCCCCCCCCCCCCCACCATCGTCACACATCGTCACAAATGTCTGACCCCCGCCCCCCCCAGGTGCGTGACGTCATTTATGGACGGCCCCTAACGCACGGCGCGAAATAAGTTCAGCATGCAGTGCACACGTACGTACTGACCCGCACCGACAAGCATGGTGGAGTAGAGTCGAGCAACCCGTGTGACCGACATGGCACGGAGACGGCCTCCGTCGACGATAGAGCGTGAGAGCTCCCAGGTCGAGGGTGGGAGGAGTGAGGTCTGGGTGGTGAAGGGAGTGGTTGGGGGGGTGAGCATGGTGGGAGCACGTCCACTCAGGCCACACGTACTCTGCAGAAGCAACCGCAGGCAGCGGGGCTTGTTGAGGAAGGCGGCCGCGTGGACCGGGTGGACGGTGTCCGGGCCCTGGACTTTGCTGAGGTCGGTGCCGGTCACGATGATCCTCTGCAGCATCGAGACGTCGTCATTCTCTATGGCCAGCGACACCGGGTCGGTGCTCCTGCACGCAGACGCGCGATGACAGTTAACAGGGGCGCCGTGGTGGTGAGATATGAATTATCATGCTCGCCTGGATTCGATCGCGACCCAGTGCCAGATTATCCTCGTAGCAAAAGTAGCTACACATGTAGCTACGGGCCCCGCACTTTCAAGGGCCCCGCGCTAAATCCTTTGAAGCTACCAATTCCGATTCAGTGATTCTGCACTTGCTCTATTACTATAGTGATATACTGCCTTCAACTTTTATGAACGATTGGGTGTTTAAGGTTAGCGATTTGTCGTATCTGGCTGTGTCGCAAATAAAAAAAATACAATCACTTTACTATGCAAGTAACATTTTTTGTAATGTTTACGTGTTTTTTATTTAAGGCCCCTTTATAACATATGCTACAGGCCCCGCACTAGCTTAATCCGGCATTGTCCCGACCCTGACGCCTGCTTGTATATTTGGAGTTTGCGTGTTCTCCCCGTGGTCGCGTGGATTTTTCTCCTCCGGTTTTTTTCCCCTCCGCATTTACAAACGTGCGTTTTAAGGGTATTTGGCTACTGCTATAAGTTTACACGTGATGATAAGCCACTTCTCTGAGCTATAATGTGGACCGGGGCACTTCTGAAAAAGAGCTATATAGCTCAGTGGGGTTTACCTGGTAAAATAAGCTAATAGTAAGAAAAACAATCATGGTATGGTTAGTTACATTGCGAGCCAGACGAGACCTCACACGGCACTCAATGCGTTGTTTCGCGAGATGATGTCAAGTGCAATGACGTCATCGGCAGCTTAGTTTTTAATCAATGAATTATCAATATTTCTTATTTACCGGGCAAGTCCCTACAGCAACACAACTTTTAGATTTAAAGTTGACTTTACGAGCGTTAGCGTAACCTCCCGCTACAGAGAGACAGAAGAGGCGGTTTGAGAGTTGAGTGTATTTCAGGCCAGGTGGTGAGTCAAAGATAAAGATCCCCCGTATAGCCTTTAACAGACTTTTGGGGCAAGTGCTGTTAGCGAGCAGCACCTATGAAGGCCGGAACGACACACGATGGAGTGAGTGGACAACACCACGCCTGGCCGTCGTTGTCTCCCCAGTGGCGATGTTTACACATCACACGAGGTACTGATTTGAGGCTGAGTCGACCTAGGAGAGGCCCCATGACCGTTTCAGATAATCGTCACTGGTCGCTGGCCGTGAGCGAGAATCGAACTCGGGTCGCCGGGTGCTGAGTCTCAAGCACACACACAAGTAGCTACACATGTAGTGGTAGCTACACATGTAGTGGTAGCTACACATGTAGTGGTAGCTACACATGTAGTGGTAGCTACACATGTAGTGGTAGCTACCACTTCCGGTCCAGTGATTCTGCACTTGCTCTATTACTATAGTACTATACCGCCTTCGACTTTTATGAACGACTGGGTGTTTAAGGTTAGCGATTTGTCGTATTATCTGTCTGTATAGCAAATACAAAAAAAACAATAACTTTACCATGCAAGTAAAAAAAATTGTGTTTTAATATTTACGCGGTTTTTAAAAATATTTAGGGCGACCACTCACTCCCGATGCTCCAGAATGATCTGGCGAGGGAGGGAGCGCCAGTAGCGGGCACCCTGCCGTGACGCGAGCCCCTCTGTAGTCTGCTGCTCGTTCCTCTGATTGCTCCTACGGGGTGGGGGGGGGGAGAAATCCGCACGCGCGTAGTCAGTCAGCTGAGCGGCGCTCCGTCAGCGATTCTCATGCAAGGGGACAGCAGCATCGCGATCGACGCCGAGGACAGCAAGAGTGCTGAGGTTGCGCGTTCCTAGCCCGGGGGGTTAAAGTCGACTCTTAGCGGCCCCCGATGCTGCGGTGGATTTTTGTTCATTTTATTTCGCAGGAACATGTGTGCGGGGAAGGTGGTGGTGGTGACCACTGCACCACTGCCCTGCCCTGTCCCTTGATTGAAATAACTAAGTGAACTTAGCTGTGATGCACAACTAAAGTTTGACAAACGGAAAGTGGCGTCTTTTAACGCGCATGAACCAGCTTTCCGATTCGATTGATGCGCATTTCAAGAATCTTGAAACGCCAAAAGGTAGCGAATTGAAGTTTACAACAACGGGAAACTCGATGGTCTATAGCGTATTTCGGAGTTTCACAGCTCAGCAAAATGTATGCGAATGACACCTCTTGTTCTCACACTTTCTTGTTTATCCGGGTAGACTACGGACGCTTGCAATGGAAAACACGACCAGTCAGTGCGTGACAGATCGACACCAGCGCCTTGTTTGCATCGTCTACGTTTCGAGTTAAGTGTGCCAGCCAACCCCTAAACGGGATCGCACCTGTCCCCGAGTGAACCTGTGTTTTCAAGTTGCACTGTTGGAAAGTGCACGAGGGTTTTTTCGGCGGTGTCATTGGGAACTGGAGCTGGGGTTGGCTTGTGTGTATGTAAGTGACTCGTAAGTTAGGCATGGAGAAAAACATACTAACGGCTAATTATAGTCTTGCAGGATGTAGCGTGATCTCGGTCAGGTGAAGCCGCAGCATACATCTGATCTATGCATTCGTGTCGCTGCTTCACAGCCATATATATCATCAAGGTCCCTTCCATGTTCATGTGTTCGACTTTTACGGGTATATACATCACGTGACGGAAAAAACGCATGTTTTTTTTCCCACTCACGTGGTGTCATTATGCCACAAAGTCAGATTTCAAGACCTCTCTAAATACTTTTTGTATTTGTCCAAAAAATCCTCACCTACACCCAGACCATGTATTTCTCTTTCTCCAGGCAGATTGGGATGTTTCGCCAATTCTTAATTTTTAAGCTTATTCTTGCAGTCGTTAAATCCCAAGAAATTCTGACATTTACAAATCTCCAGCCATGCGGGTGTCATACAAAATGCATCGCTCGACATGCAAAACACAACAATCTAGAGGGCATACCACGTACATTGAATGTATGTAGCCAACCGTGGTAATCGGAGGTGATCACCTCATGTCAAACATGAATTAGCAGAGATTTTAAAAGAAATCGGTCATGCTCAATCCACCGATGGATGAACGCCTCCCGGCTGGACGGTGAGGGCATGGTGTTTGAGCATACTTCACCACATTGGTCACCACATCGGCGTGACGAAGGGGTGCAGGGCAGGACTGTTTCTAATATCGCCGCCACTGAACGTTTGCCGTGGTCAGGAATCGAACTCCGTTCGCCGAATTCATGGGGCAGCGCGCCGGCCACCACTCCACCCCTCCGATGTCGGTCGAGTGAATTTAAAAACTTGTTCTGGCATGTCCAGCGCAAGGCATGCAGCTTCTATACAAAAATGTACATTTAAAATCACGGTCAGGTGTATCACGATGTACACGTCTTGAGGTATCACAATGTACACGTCTTGAGGTATCACAATGTACACGTCTTGAGGTATCACAATGTACACGTCTTGAGGTATCACAATGTACACGTCTTGAGATATCACAGTGTACACGTCTTGAGGTATCACAATGTACACGTCTTGAGGTATCATAATGTACACGTCTTGAGGTATCACAATGTACACGTCTTGAAGTATCACAATGTACACGTCTTGAGGTATCACAATGTACACGTCTTGAGGTATCACAATGTACACGTCTTGAGGTATCACAATGTACACGTCTTGAGGTATCACAATGTACACGTCTTGAGGTATCATGATGTACACGTCTTGAAGTATCACAATGTACACGTCTTGAGGTATCACGATGTACACGTCTTGAGATATCACAGTGTACACGTCTTGAGGTATCACAATGTACACGTCTTGAGGTATCACAATGTACACGTCTTGAGGTATCACAATGTACACGTCTTGAAGTATCACAATGTACACGTCTTGAGGTACCACAATGTACACGTCTAGAGGTATCACAATGTACACGTCACATCGCTGCAGAGTCATCGTGATACCCCTGGAAACAGCTTTAAACGTTTTTCTATAAACATAGTTTCAAACTCGTGTCTGACACAGCTTGGGTATCGAGAGCGCTGTTTATATATTCAGGGTTGCGTCTTTAACGTTTGGCACGTCTGCCAAAAAGCGAAACGTTGAGCCCAAGAATAGCGCACTTCCCTCAAATAGAAAGCCGTGAAACCTCAGAGCGGGTTCTGCATGGTCACCGAGGAGGCGGCGAGCACTGGGAGCAAGCCGTATATGAGAAGGCCAGCTTCAGTTTCACGTTCGGCTTCGAGCTCCTCTCAAACTCGCTGCCCTCAACGCGCGGCTCAAAATCAAGTCACGCGCCAATGTCCAGGAATCACAACCAGACGAGGCGCAACGCCATCGGCCAGGGAAAGGCGGAACACATTTACTCAGGAGCCAATAGGACTCGCAAATTAATACCTCTTGGTGGAGCCACGCATACACACACACACGCCTTAGCGTTGCCCAACAATCAGTGGGGGGAGTGATCATCGACCAGGTAAAGTGTAAAGAGGCCAGGGAAGCGAGTGAGCGCACTAAAATTAGAAACACCGCTGTTGCCACGTAGAAAACATATTCCCTCGGCGTGCCCAATTAGATGCACGCGGTGGTGGATGGACGTTCTTTGCTGGCCGCTTCGAAGTTGGTGGGTCCCGTGTGGCCGCAACCCGAATGAGATCAAGTTTTACAACCATGCCCAGGTTCTCCAGTGCTGCCATAGGCGGTGCCACTAGGGAGAAGGGACAGCACCCCCGACTTGGCAAACTGGGTGGGGGAGCGTACTATATATATACATTTGTCCATACCCCAGTTAGGAAGCCAGATTACTTAATTTGCACACATGCGTATTAAATATTGACTTAAAGCTTTCGTGACTGCAGGAATTCATATTCTTTGGGTCTTTCAGTAAAGTCACGTAGATGGGTTCAAAGAAAATAAATGTAGTGTTTTGTTATTCATCTTATTTTCTTTGAACCTATCTACGTGACTTTACCGAAAGACCCAAAGAATACGTGCGTATTACTTTGGACAAAGTGAATAGTTGAACATTTTTCAAGCACACACTCCCCCCCCACTCTACCACCACCGTGGCCTCGCTCCTGCTGCCCCCTCCCACACCTGCTGCCCCCTGTGCCCCTCTGTGCCCTCCATTGCTCACGGCCCACTCTCGCTGTCCCCGCTGCCACATTCCCCTTATGGGCTCCCATCTGCTGAACTCCCTCGTGCCCCCCCTCCCCCCATATACTGCCACAACCCCTTCCCACCCCCTTGCCAACATCCCCTCGCCCCCCCCCCACCAACCCCCACCACCTGCTGGCCACGTCGTTCGCCGCTGGGGGGCGATGCGTCGGTGCGGCCGGCGCATGGCTCCTGCCCGTGACGGCGAGCACGGGCGCCGCGCCGGGCTTGTGCGGCGGCGCGCCTCTGCCCGCGAGCTCCTGCAGGCTCTGCTCGATGGCGAGGCAGATCTGCTCATCCTCGCTCAGGCTGCCGTACAGGGAGTAGTCCTCCTCCACGCACATGCGCTCGGCGCTCTCAAAGCCGGGCGCGTTGCTGTGACGCTGCAGTCCAGCGGCCATCGCGTGCTGTATTTTGTGTTCCTCCTGCAAGGGGTACACGGGGGGAATGCGAGTGTGGATGTGGTTCGCACGGTTTTTTTTGTTAATATTACAGGCAGACCTCGCATAGCGCTCTAGATGCGTTCCTGGATAAGTGAGCGCTCGTCGAATCGGCGCTAATAGGGGTCATTATAACCATTGTATACGTGGGGATGCGTTCCCGACAGCGTTTACTTTCATTCGTTTGCGCCATATATAAGGGCTTTATTGGGGTATTGTTCATCGCGCTAATATTACATATGGCAAACATTTCACGAATACAAATTTATTATAACATATATACTGCTCGGGTTGACTGAAAAAAAATATTACACCAGTTATGTGGCTCGGTTGAAAATGGCCGGTTTCGTTCTGGTTAACCGATTGCCTAATACCCGTGTAATCCGATGCTAGGCAATCGGCCAATATTATCCAGCAGCACATATCCAAGCAAGCGAACCCTGGACCGGTTACGACATATTCTGGATCTCAAAAGAACAGCACCTGCAACAGTGCACGCGCCGCGAGCAATCACACCAAACAGTACGCGGTACAGTACCTCGAATTTGATTTCATTATTTACTTAAATATATTCCAGCAAATGCTCCAGCTTAACCCTGGCCAGATTAATTTTCCTCCGAAATGTTAAGAGAAAATGAAGTTCGACTCGTCGGCGGAACAGCCACCTCGTGCCGTGTGTCCTTCAGTGTTCTAAGTGTCTCTGTGTTGAGTGTCCGTGTCTCGAGTAGGGTCGTCTCACCGTGTCGTCTGTGGCGAGTGCCGACCTCCGTGCAGAACTTTTGCTCCGACAGGTGTGCCCACGTCCCCCTCCCCTCCCCTAGCGTCCTCACAGTGAACTTGGCTCAGGGATCGCGATCGGTTTCACTTTTAATAACCCACGACACAAATTTGGCTACGAACCGGTTAAAACCGATAATTGAATTTTTGGAATTAAAAAAAAAAATTCCGGATGAAAATAATTATGTTCGGGTTCATGACAGCGGTTAACAGTGTTCTGCACGGTTCGACGCTAGTTTTGACGCTTTCCATCTGAGCACATCAACTTTCCTAAAGATTAACTGAAGACGAACGTTTGTACGAGGTTGTGTTTCTATTAGGGACGTATTCCATTGAAAACCGACCAGGTTAAACAAGAAGTACCGCCCAAAAAATTTGCAAACGCAAACCAGAGCAAAAGGAATGTAATGCTGCGAACGCGCCTTGCTCCAATAGTTACTCATCGGCTTCGTTACTGCTGCTTGAACACTTCCACGGAAAAATACGCATGTTTAAAAACGCGACCGAATCCATGCGTATGTATGGGGGGGGGGGTCTTCTTCCCCCCGTCCCCGACTTGTTTTTAGTTGATACTGGCCACTTCGTTTGCCTCCGAAGCCCATGCACCGCTCAACATTGAATTTGTATTCGTTATCACAGCTTAGACTGATTGTTACAAACCCAGTGTTGGTTCGCTACGTTGTGGCCGCTTCTTGTTGGCTGCGAATTGACACGCGGTGCCCTGTACGCATGCCGTGTTTATACCCTGCACGCTTTATAGCTCATCGGATTCCTCCGCTATGAGTAAATGTTATGGCTCTGAACTCCACGTGCGTGTGTGGCCGTGTTGCACGCGTTATCACGACCACGTGAGCGCTGCACGTTGCAAGCGGTGGTGACGCTACGACTTAAATTAGTAAAGCAAAAGCATATGAACCCCGTCGCAGCGCAAGGTGCTCCGGATTCACGAAACAAGCGTAGGCGTGCATCAAAGATCACCTCGAAATTTAAACGCCAACAGACACGAGCACGACAACATCACACGTGCAGCCAATTATTCTCTCGACCCGAATATTTTCTGCGTCTCTATTGTCTCACCCTCCCCACATCGCGCCTCATCTCCTACCCCTCGTCGATGCCTCTTCGGTTACCTCATTAGGGTTTTAGAAACTGAACGAGGACGGAGGGAACAAAGCAAGTTCTGTCGAGTTCCCCCATTTCGCCACCACCACCACCACCACCTCTGTGTGCAAGTGCCTTTTTACTCCACGTGTGCCACTCACTCGCTTACACGTGCGCGTGATAGTGTGCACGTGTGCGCATACGCGTGGGTTCTCTGCGCGCGCACGGACGAACGTTACGGCTCGCTGCTGCGTGCGTGCCATGCGTGAGGTGCCCGCCGTACCTCTCTCTCTCTGTGTCTCTCTCCGGCCGTGTCGCCGCGCTCGGAGCGCGCACACAGCGAGCGGGTGAATATGGGGCGCGGGCCTCTGGCACGGGGGACTTTTATAGCGAGAACGTCGGGTGTGTGTTTACATGCCAACTCCTCCTCCTCCGCCGCCGCCTCGAAATAGCTGCAGAGCGCATGACCCTGCTCGCCGTAAGAACGTTCCATATACTTCCAGATATGTTTTTTTTTATTGATTCCCTAAGCGCGGCAGTGTTGTACAAGTAGCCCTCCGATGTATTTTTTCTGTCTGTACCATTATTGTTAGTAAACAAGCATTATTATGTATTATTATTATTATTCGTGACCCTCTTTCAGTAGGTACTTGCCAAGTTTGTTATATAGCAGGGGGGCTCGATGATTACGGCCCATAATCCCAATTGGGGAATATGCGGGTGCAGTAATTTGTCAAATTTTTGCTAAAATTTGGACCACGACGCCCGCACCCAACGGCCTCATCTCGCGAATGATGTCACGGGATCGCTATCGTCCGCTGTGCAGCAGACGGCACGTAATTGTTACGGCGAATTCACCCGCTGTAATAACCATGGCGGCAGCTGGATTCGAACCGTAAACCACTGCAACAAAGCGGAAAACGCGATGCTGCCAGGCCATGGCACGATGTCCGATTGCTGAGAGCTTCTTCAGGAACGGCAGGCCCCAGCAGGGGGAGAAAAACGTCGGACCAAGGAGGCCAGAGTCGGTGGAGTGTTGCGGGAGCTGGCTGGAACGCATGTATTGTATGTATGTTGAACTTCTTTCGCACCGTACATAGGCAACCGTGCTAATTGGAGGTGCGGGGAAGGACAACAAACTAAACACAAAGAAGCACTTGTAAAGTAATTGGTTTTCAATCTAAATTTAAAAGTGCAGAATCCCAGTGGCTTCCTAATAGAGAAGGATGTACATATATACAGCACATTAATTAAATAGGTATGCACACAGAGGACAGCTAGGGACAATAAGCTCCATTTATAAACATCATGCAGTAATCTCCAGGGCCAAACACAACACACCTCTCACCAGGGAGGCCGTGTGTGCTTGGATGCCCGATGTAGTATGCAGTACTATCATCGAGATGTGGTACCATTACAGTTTACGATTCACACTGCTCATGCTAATATTGGCCCTTTGTCAATCCACTTCGAGACGAAAACCTCCCTGCGTCGTGTCAGTCGTTTGTCCATACTTCACCAAGCGGGTCAGTGCAGGTTGGTGAAGGGTAGGGAGCCTCGGACTAGTTCATTTAACACATTCCTGCGGAGGGAGCTGGTAGGAACGTTGGGTTGCTCGGTCAATGGCCAGGGTCAACGGCGGCACCACGTGGTGTATTCCGCAAATATTCCCGACTGTGAGGGTGGGCACAAGCCGGCGTGAGTAGGTTAAACGTTGAGTTATATAAGGGCACCACGGGGTGACCAGCCCCTCCCCACCCAACCCCACCCCTCCCACCCCCCACCCCTCCCACCCTCCCCACCCCCCACCCATCCCCACCCAGCCCCTCCCCACCCTCCCCACCCAGCCCCTCCCCACCCTCCCCAGCCCCTCTCCACCCTCCCCTCCCCACCCTCCCCTCTCCACCCAGCCCCACCCCTCCCATTTTATCCGGGAGTCCGAATACACGTGGACAGACATCCACAGACATACACAATTAATCCCCTGCCTCCTGTGAATTAATCCCGGTTAGGCTTCCAGTCCACTACGTTTCCTACCAGTAATGCCCACTAGGAGCGCATTTGTTATATATCCGGGTGTCTGGATACACGTGGACAGACATCCACAGACATACACAATTAATCCCCTGCCTCCTGTGAATTAATCCCAGTTGGGCTTCCAGTCCACTACGTTTCCTACTACTATCACTCTCAGCCGGTGCTAGCCGTGGTCAGAAATCGAACTCTGGTCTTTAGGTCCATGGCACCGTGCACTAACCACTGCGCCACCGCTCCACCCACAACTAGCAATATCATCCTCCTCGTCGTCGTCATACCTATTGAGCAATATTAGTTCCGAGGTTTTCTCTGTACTGGTATTCGCGAATATTCACTCATTCATTCAACATTACGTGCATGGAATAGACATTGCGCAGAGAAGACGACAACAACAAAGTCCGTTTATAATCGTCGTCTCCAGGGCCATACTCGCCTCTCGCGACCACGAAAAGCGTGGCCAGACAGCCCCGAAAAGCGTGGCCAGACAGCCCCGAAAAGCTTGGCCAGACAGCCCGGAAAAGCGTGGCCAGATAGCCCCGAAAAGCGTGGCTCAACGGCCACGATAAGCGTGGCTCAACGGCCACGAACAGCGTGGCTCAACGGCCACGAACAGCGTGGCTCAACGGCCACGAAAAGCGTGGCTCAACGGCCACGAAAAGCGTGGCTCAACGGCCACGAACAGCGTGGCTCAACGGCCACGAACAGCGTGGCTCAACGGCCACGAAAAGCGTGGCTCAATAGCCCCGAAAAGCGTGGCTCAACGGTCACGAAAAGCGTGGCTCAACGGCCACGAACAGCGTGGCTCAACGGCCGCGCGCCCGACGACCCCTCCGGCCGCCCTCGTGCACCCCTCCTCCATTCATCCTCGGCTGACCCTATTTTTGAAATTTCATGGCACGTTCATTTATTTTTAACCAGGTGCGTGCCCCCCCTCCCCCGCTAACACGATGGCCGTACATCAATTGAAACACGCAGCACGGGGAAAAGAGCTACAGGTTGAGGGATAACCGTTGCAATGTTTCCTGGTGGAGTCTAGTTGGCTGAAACGTCCAATTACTGTATTTTTTTGTTCCTGTCGGTGAGAGTAAAACGTTAAGCTTTTGTTCTATTTTACATTTTCATGCGATTCTGTGTACAGGCTCACGAGAGTAATTTGAAGCCTTGCGTTGATTGTGGGAATAGAGCAAGAAAAACATATAAACACTATAAAGTAAACACGTTAGAAGACAGGGTAATTGTCAAGGACGTTGAAGGATAACAGGTAAACCGGCACCTGTTTTCAAAATCGAATCACGATTCCGAAAGTTTGGAACCAATCATCGATTGCAGTAGAATATGTATTCCTCATAAGTGCGCGAATTTACGCCTGCGAACGTACACACCACACGGTGGCAGGTTTAAGGGTAAATAATAGTTTTGTAAATAGAATCAAAATCGGCATCTTTATTTATCTTATTTATCCCGGAGAAAATACAGGTAAAAGGTGCAGCCCTGCAATTGCATGCCAACACCACTGCGGGCAGAAGGGCCTCCATTAAAGGGATATCCGTAGGGTATTTGGTCTACTCTTCCACGTTGACCAGACGTGTTGTATATGTATGTTGAACTTCTCTTATACTGTACGTACAGTGAGGGAAAAAAGTATTTGATCCCCTGCTGATTTTGTACGTTTGCCCACTGACAAAGAAATGATCAGTCTATAATTTTAATGGTAGGTTTATTTGAACATTGAAGAGACAGAATAACAAAAACAAAAATTCAGAAAAACGCATGTCAAAAATGTTATAAATTGATTTGCATTTTAATGAGGGAAATAAGTATTTGACCCCCTCTCAATCAGAAAGATTTCTGGCTCCCAGGCAACGAGCTGAAATTAGGAGCACATTCTTAAAGGGAGTGCTCCTAATCTGAGCTTGTTACCTTATAAAAGACACCTGTCCACAGAAGCAATCAATAAATCAGATTCCAAACTCTCCACCATGGCCGAGACCAAAGAGCTCTCCAAGGATGTCAGGGACAAGATTGTAGACCTACACAAGGCTGGAATGGGCTACAAGACCATTGCCAAGCAGCTTGGTGAGAAGGCTCTAAGAAAAGCCGTCTCGGGTGTGGACCAATCAAATTCAAGGACAGTGCATATTATTATCAGAGTTGTCTCTTTTGTTTGCATTTTGACTGCTTGTGCTGTGGTTATTGCAAACATGATGTCTTGAATAAAGGTGTCAGTTTTTGTGCCAGTTAAAAGGGTAAAAGCTATTTATATAAGGTGACAACAGTTGGTGCGATTATTCGCAAATGGAAGAAACACAAAAGAACTGTCAATCTCCCTCGGTCTGGGGCTCCATGCAAGATCTCACCTCGTGGAGTTGCAGTGATCATGAGAACGGTGAGGAATCAGCCCAGAACTACACGGGAGGATCTTGTCAATTTGTAACACACTACGCCGTGAAGGACTGAAATCCTGCAGCACCCACAAGGTCGCCCTGCTCAAGAAAGCACATATACATGCCCGTCTGAAGTTTGCCAATAAACATCTGAATGATTCAGAGGACAACTGGGTGAAAGTGTTGTGGTCAGATGAGACCAAAATAGAGCTCTTTGGCATCAACTCAACTCGCCGTGTTTGGAGGAGGAGGAATGCTGCCTATGACCACAAGAACACCATCCTCACCGTCAAACATGGAGGTGAAAGCATTATGCTTTGGGGGTGTTTTTCTGTTAAGGGGACAGGACAACTTCACCGCATCAAAGGGACGATGGACGGGGCCATGTACCGTCAAATCTTGGGTGAGAACCTCCTTCCCTCAGCCAGGGCATTGAAAATGGGTCGTGGATGGGTATTCCAGCATGATAATGACCCAAAACACACGGCCAAGGCAACAAAGGAGTGGCTCAAGAAGCAGCACATTAAGGTCCTGGAGTGACCTAGCCAGTCTCCAGACCTTAATCCCATAGAAAATCTGTGGAGGGAGCTGAAGGTTCGAGTTGCCAAACGTCAACCTCGAAACCTTAATGACTTGGAGAAGATCTGCAAAGAGGAGTGGGACAAAATCTCTCCTGAGATGTGTGCAAGCCTGGTGGCCAACTACAAGAAACGTCTGACCTCTGTGATTGCCAACAAGGGCGTTGACACCAAGTACTAAGTCATGTTTTGCAGAGGGGTCAAATACTTATTTCCCTCATTAAAATGCAAATCAATTTATAACATTTTTGACATGCGTTTTTCTGGATTTTTTGGTTATTCTGTCTCTTACTGTTCAAATAAACCTACCATTAAAATTATAGACTGATCATTTCTTTGTCAGTGGGCAAACGTACAAAATCAGCAGGGGATCAAATACTTTTTTCCCTCACTATATCCAACCGTGCTAATCGGAGGTG